ATTGTCTCCTGAAAAAGGGAGAAAACCCAAATCCAAACCCAGGGCTGGAGCTGAATTTCCTTTCCTCTTCAGCCCTGTGCACTAAGAAGGGCTGAACCTTCCCATCCCCATCTGGAATCAGCGAAATCAAGCATTTGATTGCCCACTTTGAAAGGGCATGTGGCATCCCCAGGTGAGAGCTGAAGTTTGGGGAGGGGTGTCTCATTGGACAAAGCAGAAATTTTCACACCACATGGAAAGTGAGGGAATTGGATGAGGAAGGGTCTCAAGTAAGACTGAGCATAATCAGCATTATTCCTGCAAATTCTCCAGACTCTCTTTGTAGCTTGCCTTAGGGCTGGGATTATTTTCTCCTCCGAGGGCTCTCCCTGCCAGGGCTGGGATTTTCTCCTCTGAGGGCTTTCCCTGCTCATCTTTGCTATGTATTGGCTGATTTCTTTTAGAAACAACACAGAGCTAAGCCCCTTCTCCCACGCTGAAGAAGCCTGATTTTGCCTTTTCTAATTAATCACATTTTCTTGTGATAAAAATGAACTATCCCATGAGCAAAAAACTCACAGAGAAAAGAGTCCTTCCTGACCCTGGGCCCAGGGTACAAGTGGCACGCGTGTGCTGAAAGAGCATCAGGCAATAATTAGCCAAAATACCCATTCAAGTGCCTAAACAGTCCTGGATGAGAAGAAACATGAATTTGTGGAACAGCAGGGACTAGAGGCAGCTCTTAGTACAGTCCTGACCCCAAAACCAGGACACAGGGGACATCTTGCTGTCACAGAAGCAGCAAAACTTGGAAAACATAGCCAGAGAAAGCAGCCTTGCCCCTTTCTACCCTGCATAGGCCTTCCAAGATGGTATCACAGACCAAGTTGTTCCTTCTGGGATTAGAGTCTGACATCCAGTGCAGTTAGAAAAACATGTTTCATGATTACAGTAGTTTTTTCTAAGCAATTTGAGTTCAAAGCTGTCCACCATTTCCAGGGTGCTACTTGGAGAAATGTCTGACGCTGCACCATCTCTCCTGTGAGGAAAGGCAGGGAGAGCTGGGAGTGACCATGTACAGAAGAGAAGGCTCAGGGGGATTTTCTGCATCTGCACAACTATGGCAAGTGAAATAGGAGCAGCAATGTGTTCTGGCAGGCAGGAGGGCCAGCCACGTCCTGGGGTGCATCAGGCACAGCATCACCAACCAGGTAAGGGAGGGGATTGTCCTGCTCGGCTCTGAACTGGGGCAGCCTCACTTCAAGTCCTGGGGGCAGTTTTGGGCAGCTCAATGTAAGAAGGACATCACACTATTCAAGTATGGCCAGAGGAGGGTGACCAAGACGGTGAAAGGTCTCAAGGGCAAGACTTATGTGTCGGAATCTGAGATATTGGTGATTACGAGATTGTAAAAAATCTCTGTCTTTCAGCCCTGTTGCCAAAGAAGAAGCCATAATTAGTCTGTGCTGGTTTCAAGGTTGTTTATTCTGTTTATCTCTAACATGTTCTGCTGCCCTGCCGCAGCTCTGTCCTGCAGGGGAGCGTGTGGGGCTCTGCCCTCAGTGGGATGGTACAAACATTAAATACCAGAAACTACCTGTGCTGGATTTACAATAACGTGCCAATACATTCAACAGTGTGTCCCCAGCCTAAACCAACAGAAAAATGCCAACACCACAGTGAAACATGGAGGGCATGAAGAAGGAGGAAAAGGACACGACACACCCAATTTCCTCCATCTTGTCCCCTTTGGACCCCTAATCTAGAATCCTAAAATTTACTTTTGCACCCGTGCCACACTTAATTATTACTTATATCAAACACTCAGAGCTTGTAATTCATCCTGTAGGATTGAAAACTCTTTTCCATGGACAGAGATCACAGACAGTGTCTCTGGGGGCTCTGTACAGGGGGGTTCCTGATCCCTGCCAGGGTCCCAGACCTGCCAGGGCAGCCAGAGGGAAGCTCTGGATTCCCACACTTATGAGGAGCAGCTGAGGTCGCTTGGTTTGTTCAGCTTGGAGGGGACTGAGGAGAGACCTCAGGGTCTGCACCTCTCTCAAGGGGGGAGGTGGAGGTGCTGGCCTCCCCTCTGGTGACCAGCAGCAGGACATGAGGCAATGGAAAGAAGCTGCCCTGGGAATGCTGTCCAGTCCGAACTCTGGGAAAAGGTTCTTTACTGAGCAGGAGGTTGGGCACTGGAAGAGGCTCCTTGGGGAAGTGGTCACAGCACCAAGCCTGACAGCATTCAAGGAGGGTCTGCATGATGCTCTCAGTCACACACTTTAGCTTTAGGTAGTCCTGTGAGAAATAGGGAGCCAGACTCAATGATCCTTGTGAATCCCTTCTAACTTGAATTATTATGTGATTCTTTATTCACTCTTGGCCGCGCTCCAATGACCGAAGTATTTCTTGCAACATTGTGCCTAAAGCAACACATCTGACTACACCATCCTCTCATCTAACAAAATAATCTCTCATTTTTTCCATCCCTCTCTCCTGCTAGCCCTGAATGACACCTGCCTTTATCCTCCCCCAACAGCTTATTATCACCTTGCATTTAATGGTCTCTACTGTAACTTATCCACTCCCACTGCACTGCTGCTCTGCCAGCTCTCACCCATTTATTCTCGAATGTCTGATTTCTCCTCCTAACTACAGCTCTTTGCACTCGCCTTTATCAAATTTCTTCTCGTTATTTCAGGCCATTTTTCCTGTGTATTATGGCCACTTCAAATTCTGATACAAACCTCCAAAGTGCCTGAGTGTATTCTCAAGTCACTGCCAACCACAGATTTTTATACAGGCTATTTATTTTACTGCTCCAGCCATTAACAAAGATATGGAAAAATACAAACCCTGAAATAAAATGTGTAGTGGTCTCACAATGCCCTCTCTGGCTTTATACCAATAGCTATTCCAAGCACAATTTTTCTGCTAAATTGTGTTAATTTGCTTCATTTCTTCTTTTCCTTGAAAAAAAGGAAAAAGAGTATAGCGAGGCAAAGAAAACATTAACAGCATCAGTTTTCTCTGAATCATCTGTCATTTTTTTTCTAGATCCACTCATTTTTTCACACTTAATCATGTGCCTTTCCTTCAGATCTCCAGAGTTTTCATTTTGATTGATCCTTACAAGCCCTTGCCATTTTCCCTTCACATTAGGTCACTGCTGATGGGCCATTAAAAAAGCACCTCTCTTCCACCTCTCCTAAATGGATCCAGGCATCGACACCCACACTTGCTAAACTGCCTTTTGAGGTCCTTATTCTGCTTCTCTTGTCTCCCTCCTGTCTCCAGAGCACCAAATCCAACTCCATGGCCACTTCCACCTGAATTATTTCTAACTTTTAAAGTTTTAAACTTCAAATAAATCTGACTGCAACCCAGAACAGTTAAGTCCAGAATAACAACACCCTGTACCTTCTGAAATACAAACACTCCTCTGCAAAAAATCCTATTAACTCTGTTGTTTCAAGTCTTCCCATGTTAGACACTTTCCCAACAGATTCTCAAGTATTGTTTGGAAATACTGGTGGACGAAAAATTGAGCACAAGCCAGCCATATGCACTTCCAGCCCAGAAAGCCAAACATGTCCTGGGCTGCATCCCCAGCACCGTGGGCAGCAGATCAAGGCAGGGGGTTCTGCCCCTCTGCTCTGGTGAGGCCCCACCTGCAGTGCTGCATGCAACTTTGGGGTCCCCAATACAGCACAGTTACAGACCTGTTGGAGCAAATCCAGAGGAAAGCCATAAAAATGATCCCATGGCAGGAACACCTGTCCTTTGAGGGAAGGCTGAGGGAGGTGGGGAAAGTGGGGAAAAGCTCTGGGTAGACCACATTGCAGCCTTTCAGTACTTAAAAAGGCCTTACAGTAAACATAGTAAACCAGGGGCTGTAGTGACAGGACAAAGGGCACCAGCTTTAAACTGAAAGAGGTTCAGTTTAGATTGACATTATGGAAGAAAATCTTCATGAATAAGTTGGTGAAACACACAGGAACAGGGTGCCCAGAGAAGTTGTGGTCGCCCCACTCCTGAAAGCATTTGAGGACTAGAGGATATTTAACAATCCTTTCCAACCCAAAACATTCTGTGATTCCCAAGCTTTGGAAATACACCCTTGGTGCTCAGCATAGTGCCCCCAGCCTTTCCTGAGTGACAGACAGGTCTGTGATCCGGTGCTGCCGTTTCTCTCCGAAGTCACTGAAATGCACATCAATCATTTCTGACACATCCTGACGCTGAGCTCCTCCTGTGTATTCCTCACACGGGTGTACAGACGTTTTAGCTTCACATGCTCATTCTCTCTCCTGGATATTACAGTCCCAGCTCCCATGAATAATTCATTTACATCAATGAAGTGCTACAATCTGTCAGGACACAGTTTCATAGCAGAAGCCAAGACAGAACCCAGAATTTCAAGTCCCTCCACCAGCTGGATTTGAGCCATAAAGACTAGAAATAAGAATTGATGCTTCTCTCTCTTTTGGACAGTAATGCTGTTTAGGAGCCACAAATTTCTCTTCACAACCTTCCCTGAAGAAAGGCCCTGAGCAGTCAGTGTGTACGACCAACCAGCCAACCAACCTTTCCCTTCAAGTTGCCAAAACACATCCTTGGCAGAAGCCTGGCCAGCTGTTCAGAGGGCCTTAGAGAAACCAAAACACTATTGATACCCAGGAAGGATACCCATTGCTGCAAAAATTCACATGAAGAAATATAACAGGATACCTCCCTCCCCCAGTCTGCCCTCCCCAAAAGAAAAAACCAAAAAACCCCAAACCAGACTTACTGCAGTGCAAATGTCATTGTTACTACTAAATCCTGTAATCACACAAAACTGCTTAAGGGCTTTGTATCTTTGAGAAAACTTCAAGACTACAGAAAACATAACAGTTACAGCAACAAGTCTTATTTAAGCTCTATATAATGTCAGGGTGACCACAAGTTGGAGATTGTCTTTACAGAGGTCATCAAATTCAAATAGAAGACAGTGTTAATTCAACATCCAGACAAGCTTTTGCTAAGGTAGATTTATTAAGCCTTTAAGTACCAGTGTTACCAAGTGTCCTTCATGAATCAAAAGCACCATGGTCTGTTTCTGTTACACTTCAGATCCACCGTCTCTTGACCAAAAATATGTATTTTAGTTCAGTATTATTTCTTGAACTAATGTTCAAAATGCAGCATGTGTCCAAATACAACCAGAATTGATACTTCTGGCCTCTAAGGTTGAAATCAATTACCAGTTGCCAAGCTGATTTGCCTATTTATGCTCACTGACAAATACCCTGTGCTCCTCTCTGGCTATTTGGCACTTCAAATTTGGGAGTTTGTGAAAGCTGAACTCAGTCATGCATGCACAAAGGTACAGAAGGATTTTTACAAAGGTGTGTGCCACTGATGTTTTGGGGTCCTTTCAGCTGGCAACGCTCACCTGAAAGCCTGAAACCAGAAGTGTCTAAGGGTCTCTGTTGTTCAAATGAGCCCCTGAACTGCATCTCACAGGGCACCTTTTCTCTGCATCCTGGACATGAGCAGCAGGTGAGTATGTAACAATGAGACAGATGAGATTTCTAGCCAAGGGTGTCAGATGCATTTATGTGGATTTTTATAATCTGTGATCAGCATCCAACAAGTGCTACTGATTTTACTGAGACTCGGACCTGGACATTTCTCCCCTACTTTTAGAGTTAAGGTGGTTTTTTTTAGGTATTATAGAGCACCACTTAAAAACATGCCTTTGTAAGAGGAAGGGAAAAGTGGACAGAGGTTTTAAAATTCAGATCAGTATCATCCATGCTGCTGCTGCTACCAATTCTGATCTTAGTATTTATCCAAATAAGAGGCTGAGGGATGAGGAAAGACATGGACAACACTGGAGAAAGAGGAGTCAAAAGAGAACAAACAGCATGGACAGTCTGAAGCCCAGGAGCATTACTCCAAATCCTCAACTAAGCCAGCACAGGGCCACAACTGCTGCTTATGGGGTTACAGGAATCCTGATCCCCACTATCCATCTGGGAGATTAAACATCACAAGTAATGGGCTGTGGAACAATGAGGACTTTTCCTTGGCACTCCTGGCAGAGCTGCAGCCCAAGAACTGAGTCTCGCTGCTGGAGCTATCAGATGTAGCCAGACTTCTGCAGGGTTTGGCAGGCACAGGATCTGTATAAAATGACTGCCACGTTACCTCCCTCTAAAACTTCTGTTTGTCATCTAGACAAGACTGCAAGCATCTTTACACTGTGTTTTAAGCATATAATTAGGAATATATAGTATACAGTTGGCCCTTACTTAGCAAATGGTGATGATATAATTAAATCCCATGAACAAGGACCTGAACAACTGGAAATTTGTATTTTCAAGTTTCTGTACATAATGGCTAGAGGCAGAAACTGCTTTTATGATAGAAAGAAAAGTGTCATGTATTACTCAGTGTAAAATTGATCTGAAGTATTTGTAATCTACCAACATTAGCTCTCTCAGCTCACCAAAAGGAATATGTTTGTTAATTATCCTAGGAGATCAAAAGGACATATAGAGTGAAAATTCTTTTAGAAGAGGAATCTAATTTAACAGCCAAATAAAACTGACTGTCTGGTTACCTGAAGTTGGGCAAAAAAAGCAAAGTACCTATAAAGTATGTATTTAAAGTGTAAGGATATGGTATTTTCGGGGGCCTGATCCTGTAGATCATATTTTTATACTGGGGATTGATTCTGTACCAGTTCTGAACATGGGACCAGTATTTTTGCTCTGCTACCTTTTATGGTTCTTCACTAGGAGTTAGCCCAAAGGAAGCAGGACAAGCAGGACAATTAATTTGTGGAGTCCATGTGGAAGAGGTGGGAAACTATCTTCCAGCTTTAAACTAAGACTTTGTTTTTAAAGACAATAATCTGTAGTTTAGAAGCATTTATGGATCTATTGGAAGTTCCAGGCATCATCTGTGTAAAGCAAGTGTGGTTAAATCATCACAACAGTTTAAGCTATAGCTAGAAACTTTAAAACAAAGAGGAAAGCTTTGTTAATTTTTTACACTTTGAGTTTCCTACCCGATTTAGAGACATTTATACTCAAATTATCCCTCTGGAGAGGGTGAGAAACACTCATCCAAAATCCTGCAGTATGGCAGAATTAGGTATAGCCCAGCCCTGAGTTAATGATCCTCTAATCTGAATACAAAAAGCTATTGAGAAGCAGGTTCAAATGCTTCAAACAATGCTTCAATTCAGGGCAGACTGTTCTGACTCCAGGAGCTTTCATCTGTGATGTTTCATCAATGTGTGGATTCTTAATCTGCATAATCTTTAACTTGAGTAAGTTTTCATTCAACAGTGAAGCTAAATAAAGACATTAGGTAATAATTTAACAATTTAGCTCAGATTTAACATCCAAGAACAGATTGTAACCAAGCACCATTCCAATCCGACAGCAAAAGCAAGGCAAAGAAACACAAACAGGTTTATATACACACACACGGTATCACATAACTGGTTTGAAATAGGAACCAGTTTCCAGGGGTTATGAGCTTCTTCAATGTCCTTTTGTTTCAATGGGAACTCTGCACACTGTTAATAAATTACTGATGCCATACAAACACCTATATCCAAAAGTCAGCTGGTGATTCACCTAAAACTGTCCTCCCCCACCTCCCAAACAACAGCAACTGGTAACAAGAGCTTCTGTTTCCCCAGATTTAGCCAAGCTTCTCTTTATACAAAAAACAAGAAGTAAAAAATGAATACAGAATTTTAAGAGCTGAAAGAATAATTGCTTTCATAAGAAACTCAGAGATGTGACACAAAAGAAATAAGACTGAGTCTGCATATAAAATTATAGGTTGATGTTAATTATGTAGATTAAAGTCACAGATGATGTCTAGTATGAAATCATGTTAAAAAAACAAGTTTCAAGAAAGCTTTACTATGAAAATGAAATTAAATTTGGTCAAGTTAGATGAATTTTGTTGCTTTAGTGACTGTGAAAATACTACTTTACTTTAAATGCATTCAGAATTCCAAATTCCCAATATGCAAATTTTTCAAACTTTAAGTAGTTTACTACAACTATAGCTGTTCTCTGAAATGAAATATTAGCCCTTGTAACAAAGAAAAAAATCTCTTCTCCATTTTTAATTTTTTTACATAAAGGATGAGAAGTGCTCCCAAAACAAAATCAATTTACAATTTTAGGTTGCTACAGATAAAAATGTACATTCCTTTTTCTTTGTGACTACATATTAAGCAAGACTGTGTCTAAATTCAGAGAATGCTCCATGTTTTTACTGCACAAGCATTACATGTTGCCATATTTACACAGGGGAGTCTGAAGGTGTAGCTCAGCAGCATCAATCTTCACATTATGAGAAATGGAAAGCAGTTGTTCAGCTGCACTCAGGCTGTTGCTTCCTTGCACCTGGAATCCAGTGAGAACTCATCCTGACCTTTCATGTTTCCCTGAAAAATCTTCCCTACACTTTTGTATAAACCAACAGACACTGGGGATGAACAGCTCCTCAGGTCTTTCATTGACTATAAAAAGCAGGTTTTCTTTAAATCAATAGTTTAATAGTTATGCTAAATAGAGATTTTGCCACATTTCTTGCTTGTAATTCAATGTAATGCTTCTGGGTACCTCAGTCATCCTCTTGCTGATTTCTTTTCTGTCAACAGAACAGGAGAGTTCAGAATGTTAGGACACAGTTATCTGAAGTAAGAGTACCAATAAACCATGACAAGTGTTCTAGATACAATGGATTAGACAGTGACTGCACTTCTAAGTCATATTTTGGAACAGTAAGAGATAATTTTTCCAGCAAATGGAACAGAGCAATATCAGCCCTCTCTCTCTCATCCCAAACTTTATTTCCAGTAAAGAACAAGATTTGCCTAGTCCATTAACTCATGGAATATACAAGAACCAGAAAACATCATGGTGGTGGCACGAATCAGAGATGCAGGTAACTTCTCTTCCCTGCCTTACAAAAATGTCATGTTTTCATGTCACTGTGCATTAAAAGAACAAAGAAAGCAGACTGAAAAAGGAACAACTCTATCATTGTTTTTCCTAATATATTTGTCTTGTAACTTTTAAAGAAAAAAGTTCAAAACATTAAAAGTTAAAAGCATTAGCTCCAGGCATTCAAAAACACACTTCCATTCATATATATATTTCAATAAGAAAGGAAACAACTAAGTTCTTCAGTAAGATTTGTAAAATTACATTCATTGCTTGCCACAAAAATAAAACAATTTAAGCAAAGTGAGAGCAGCAAAAAGCTTGCCCTTTATCACTTCAGAAACAATCAACCCAACAATACATTGTGTGATGGCTTCATACATTGCTTTTTCTGTAATTTCGTACACTTTGTTAGTAACAAAAACAGAGATCCAGGGACTTTGGTGGTTCCATTTGACAAAGGTGGAAGGTCAGAGATTTTTTTTCTGCTACTTCTTACCAGTTTAAGAAAGTCAATCAATTTGTGAACATCCTCTCCTGTGGAAAGGTCCACAAAGTCCTTGGGCAGTCGGTAGCTCAGGTAGGGACTGGGCTGGACGGTGACTTTGCTGTTAGTACAACGGAACACTGGATAATCCTTTGGAAAAGGAGATAAAACAAGAGCAGTGGACATGAATATGAAATGTTTCTGGGACTCCTCCGTGAGACTGAGTCACGCTGCCAATGAGTTTATTTGGCACTCACTCAACTAAACTTGCGCTTTCTAAAAATTGTAGCTTTCTTATAAAACCTCTGCCCACTTAGGAGCAATTTCAAATGTCAAACATGTTAAACAGTCAAATAATGGCTTTCATTACCTCACTTTAAAGTTTCTACAGTGTATCAGTTATTAATGTATTTAATAAATTCATGCTTATGACAGTGCTGTAATAATGGAACTATAAGGAACTTTGGGCAATAGGATCTAGATACGTATCTGGATAGAGAAAAATCTTTTTGCTAGAATCCCTAAACTTATCTTCACAGTTTCCTTGTTTAAACACATTTGCAACTATAACCTTAATGAAATTATAATTTAAGTTTTCCATCTAATTTACTTACTGATGGAAAAAAAACCTCTATAAAAGGGCCAAAAATATCTCTAAATGCTGAACTGTAGCAACAGGTTTTGGAGAATGATATAATTTTCAGTTCAACACATTGGCATGCCATGCAATTGCCAGCTGTACAGCAATAAACAGCTTCATTTTAAGAAAGATCAGCAACTTTACACCAGATTATGTGACTGGATGTCAGATGAAACATGAAAAAAAGTTATTCTGCTTTTCATCCACGATTGAACTAAAGAAAACTGTGCAAAGCATCTGGCAACGAGAAAAAGAAATCCCAGACTGAAAATTCATGTGTCCCAGAGACAGCTCTACAATTGGGAGTGTGTTCTAACAAAGAAGACACAGATTTTAGCAGGAGGGTTCATGGAATGGGTTCTCATACAGCAACAGCCCCATGGTGAGACAGAGGCAATGGCCTGAAGGACGGCCTGGAGTGGGGTTTCCCTGTCAATGTCTTATGGAAAGGGCCAACTCTCAAATGTTAAAATCAGCTCAATGAAGTTTGTCGTTTCAGTGATCTCTAATGCAGTTAACAGCTAGGAAATAAAGAAAAGCCCACACTGGCCAGTCACCTCTCCTCAGAAAATAACCAAGTGTTTCCCAAGATGCACTAACACACCACTTTCTATCTCCTACCCAGCTACCCAAGGATCTGCTAAGATGTGAGGACTTTGTCTCAAGATGCAAAAAAAGCTGGAATACAAAAAAATGAAGACTGTTCCTCCCCTTCTGTATTAATGGGGAGTTACTTCTTTTTGCAGAGGAAATGCTGCTTGGAAGAGGGATGGAAAAGCCTTGTTCTGCAAGTCCTGGGAGTTCAACCAGATGACAAAGCTTTGCTAAGGGTATTCCAGATGAGGAAGAGACAGAAGTTAAGCTTCTGCTTGTCTCCCCCCAAGCATAAAACTGAAGATGCAGGAAACTGCATGACAGATATCAAGAACCAAGTAGAAATTTAAGTGATTATATAGAAAAGTAATAGATTTAAAAAAAAAATGAAAAGAATGCATCAAAACTGTGTAAAAGCAAGTTTCAGGGCATCTTTTTTGCACTGGGATCAAAGCTGCAACATGGGCTTGTATTGTTTGAACTAAAATTTCCTTTGCAGGCCTCTAAAACTAGCAGATGATACTTGTTGAGATTAACTATAAGGTAGATTCTACTTACAGAGAGTTTACATTTCACAGGAGCTTCATTTACTTCAATGGGATTTGCACCACAATTTGATTGTAACAGCAAAATAAAGAAAAAAATAAGGCCATAAATCCTGTTGGATGTTATTCAGCCTCTCTCACCTGTTCTGTTGCTTCCCCTTCACTCTGGTCTCCTTTCAAGTTTTTTCCAGAGGTGAGTTCTTCCCATGTAAAGAGCAGGGAGTCTGTTACTTCACCAAATGGGTTAAAATCTATTAACCAAATCTTACCCTGCAAAGGAACCACAGACAAATTAAAACAAACCACAGAACTAAAACAAAGCAAAAAAAGGGGAATAAAAAGGAAAAAAGATCAAAATACACATATACTCAGTTTATTGTAGTATGCTTGGTCTTTACATAAAAAGATGTCAAAATTGAAACTACCTGGTTTTCTAAACGAGGTTTTAGATATTCTAAAATCCTTTGCATTATAGAGTTTTATATCACAGCAAGCTATCATGTACCAATTTACTTTGATTTTTTTTAAACAGAAGATCAGACAGAGCTAAAATAAACTGAATTTAGTTCTATGCAAGGTGTTTTCAGATGAGCCCACTGAAGTTATGGCTAATCCCCAAGATCCCCAGAGGGAATGAACAGGAAATAGGGGAAAGCACTAATCAAAAACCACAAAAAAAAAAACCAAACCACAACCAAACCCAAAACATGACCAAACAAACAAAAAAACCCAAACTGCCCACATAGGGATTTTGCTTTCCATGAAAAAACACCTCAGCAACACTGTACCATCCAGCAGTCTACAAAAGTCGCTGCTCTTGATCTTAGAAGGGACCCTAAAAACAGAGAGCAGGGTCTGCAAAATGCTAGTGGAGCTCATGAAACCTCAAAGACGCTGTACAGACATAGATAAATAAAGAATTACTTAAAGGCATTTTTAATATAGTCATTACTAGTAGTCCACATTAGTTTCTACCCCATCTTTAACACATCTGTGTTCCAAACAGTTGTGGTAGGGTGCATAACAACACAACTGCTTTACAACTGAAAAAAGAAAAAGGAAAAAATTAAAAAGAAAGAAAAAAGAAAGCAAAGACTAACAAGATGTATTAGAAGTAACAGACATGTGGGGGAGGAAGAAATAGTCTGTGCTCCTTGAGTCACTTCAAGATACAACCCCCAGCACAGGCCCATCTTCTCCTGCCCAAAGAAGTACCAACTATTCTAATAAAACAAAACATTGTTATAAATTATAAGGAAATATGACTACAGATGCTAGTAAAGATGTGTAAAACCAATATTATATCTGGATGAAATCAGTTCTATCAAACAGGGAAGGAAACAGTTGCAGTAACATAAGCAGGGCTGAAGAGTTTTGTTGTGTTTATTAAAAAGATCAACTGGAATTGGAAAACAAAGCTGAAATTGTGTAGCTACTAAGCATTCAATTTGCTTTCTCCTCTTTTCCTTCATTTCTGAAGGATCTTCTTGCTTGAAAAGATCTTGCCTATCTGGATACAAACAGCAAATACATTCAATTATTTACACTACAGCCATCTGGTTTCTAACACACAAAGATGCTTTTGAAGCGTCGGCAGAGAATAACACGGAGACTGCCTCCCCCACCCACGCCACCTGAGCTATCCCACGGGCACTGACACACTGTGGGACTGTGAATGATGGGAAGCTGTGAGCAGAAATGTTCTGGTGCCTCTGTCAGCATCCACAGCGAGCTCCTCACGCAGGTGTGGGGAGCCCCAGCAGAGATGAAACCAGTGGTTATGACCTGCAAGCTGGAGCTGAGCCCAGCAGGGAGCTGTGGTTGCACACAGGCTTTCACAGGTGTCTGTCTCAGGGCAGGTCCACCGGGAACAGCTCTCACAGAACACATTTTAAGAAGCCAAAGCACAGAAACAACAGTGCTGAAACCAGACAGCTACAAAAGAAACTACAAACTGGGGGACACAAACCTGAGTGGTTTCTTGTTTGTTCTGGAAGGGTGAGCAAGCCCAGATCTGCATGGGTGAGCTGCAACACCTCTGCACTAATATTGGCACCACCAGAGCAGAGAGCCAATGGGGCAATCTCTGCTGTCATTTCCCAGCTCTGGTCCTCCTCAAAAGGCGGTCACAAATTCTCATTATAAGCAATCTTTTACTTTTCCTAATGGGGGTGTCTTGTCAGCTCCAAGGCAGCATGGGGAGGAATCTGTGGGTTTAGATTCATTCTATCACTCTGGAAAAACAAGCTAATGAACCAATTTAATCACAGACAGAAGCAATGGCTGACAAAGTTCATTCAGCAGTTCAGAGAATCTTTCCTTGAATCAGAAACGTTTATACCTAATACTTCCCTATGAAAGGCTTTCACAGAAATTCCTCTTCAGCCCAAATACATCCAGCTCAGCTTTTTCACAGGAACATTAAGATCACTTCTCTAGAGAATAAATGTACCTTGGAAAAAACTGAAAATTGATTTTGAAACTACTGAAAGCAACATGCTTTTTGTGAGCACCCAGCAGTGTTCCTCAACCCCTGCAGACAGCAGTGCAACAGCTGTTTCCTTGAGATGGTCTTAAATCTGCACTGAGCTTTGCTAGCTGCAAATTGATGACAAGGGGCCAACCAAACTAAATATCTCTTTCCAGGGCTCATTAAACAAGTGTATATAACCCTGGGTCAGTAACCAAACTGCCTTTTCTTAAGATTAAATTCTCTCTCAAGTCTTACATGCAATGTCATGATTTAAATACAGTTTCAGATAACTTGCACTGTGTATCTAAAAAGCAGTAGTAAGGCTATTTATCTGCTACCTTTTGTCTGCTATTAGTAATCTTTGTCATACAAGACCAGAGAAATGCACAAGCCAGGAAAAAAAATGATGTGCAGAGTGGAAAAAGAAGTTCTCTTACTTGTACTACATGGTGTTTTCTTCTCATCCTAAAAGAAGGAATCAATAGATTTACAGCACCCTGTCAACTTCATGCCTTATTTTGCTAAGGCACTAAGCAGCAGGGCACTGAAAGGAAGTGCCCATGACAAAGCCTGTTGTTTAAAGGAAGTCAGAGACAGATAAAATGCAAACTTAACTGTTACATCTCCCTAACTCCAGCTGCACCTTCTTGCACAGTGACAACGCTCACAAGGCACAGACACAAGCACTGGTCTGCTCCTTAACAAGAGCTGTGAGCTAGTAGTAGTCCAGAGCCCCTCCCTGCATTGCTCTGCCTTACCACAGTGACTTCTTTTGAACTTGGTTTGTTGTTCACACCTGGGACACAGCAATGGGCAGACTCTCAGGCTTTTGTGAACTCCCCCCTCCAACTCAGTGAGCAGGACCTGTGGAGCCAACTCCAGAGAGTCTCTAAAGCAGCTGAAGTGAGCACGGGGAGGAGACTGCCGTCACTTACAACAGTAACAACAACTTGCTTCTCCAAGCTGAATATTTTGAGTTGAAAGGATTTAAAACAAGCAGACAGTGAACATTTCTCTCCTTCTGTAGGTGAGGTTGCTGTGCAACCAGCCTGATGAGGAGCACGGGCTTTGGAAATTAATCATGCTCACAATATTCTTTTGCTGCCTGTAACTCACACGCCAAGGGAGCGATGAATAACACAGTTGCAAACCACAATAGTACGTGTGAAAGGAGCAGCATCTGACACACAAAGGGCTAGCTGGCAGTTTACAAGACCTGAGGGTAGAAGGAAGGGAGAGAAATCTACAAACAGATATATTTTATTTTGACAGATGAAGAAACACTGCTCATTTGAGATACCACAGGCTGAAACCTTTTACTTAAATAATTTCTCTTCAGGCCTCAGCTATGAGGCAGAGCACCCAACGGCAGAATCTGGTTCAGTGCTCAAGTGCTGCTCCTCATTTTCCCTGACAGCATCCTCACGCCTGTCGATCTGAGCCTGGGCAGGTAATTTCAATTACAGCATAGCTGCTCTAGCCCACAGTTTCGTTTCAGGCACCTACATTAAAAGCTGGGCTGAGAAATGGTACAGTCATTGTTTTCCACATGAGACACATTCCTGTTTTATAAACTATGGCATGATTTACTGTTATACAATTACAAAATAGTTCAGCAACATTCAAAATGAGAATCAGGACTTACTTCCAATACACTCAACTCTAATAAAGACTTTCTCCAATCAAGCCCTTCAAGCACAATTCATCTGACCAAATATTTCTCCCCACTCACACTAGGAGAACTCAAAGTTACTAACTCTGATACTGGCACCTCCATACAATTATTCAGGTTGGAAAAGTCTTTTAAGATCATCAAGTCCAACCCTTAGCCCAGTACCTCTGTGTTCACCCCTAAACCACACCCCTCAGCACTACACTTACATGTCTTTCAAATAGTTGAGGTGGGATGCTTCTTCCCAACTCCATCACTATCTGGATGTTGAGGGTTAGGATCTGCCCAACTCTCAGAACCACAGCTGGAGCAGCTTGAAAAGAAAAAATGGGCTTCCATCTGTCATAAACTGGGCACACCACATTCACACCCTCTTTGGACAATTATCCCTTCCTATCCTAAACTTCCAGATATGAACCATTTTCCAATCTCACAAGGATAATCTGAGGAAATATTAAGGATACTTTTGATGAGTTAAAATGCTGTAGTGAAAAAACAAACACAGGGAAAAAGAAACAAAGCCCAAGGAAATATCTGTCTTAAAAGACAATGCCCCATGTTTGAAAGCTATTTGGACCATGGCCTTAATTAAAGAGTCAATATCCTGAATTGGAAGGGACCCACAAAGCCACTGAGTCCAACTCCTGGCCCTGCACAGAACAGCCCCACAAATCCCACCATGTGCCTGGGAACACCACCCATAACCTTAAGCTTCAATTTTCAGTCAGCCCTGAACTGATCAATCAATAGGACTTGATGACCACTGTAGGTCCCTTCCAACTGAAATAGTCTATTCTACTCTAAATTACTGCAGCAAGGACTCTGATGTCATAACAAAAACTAAGTTGCCTCTTGTAGATTCAAAGAACCGAGAAAATTGCAGTTGAAGCCTAAGTTCTGTGCTTCAGAACAGACAACTTCTCTGGAAGATATTAACTAAATAATTACATCGCTGGCACAGACATATTTACACCCCTAATCCTATTATTCTCCTACTGTAGACAGCATTTATCATAGAAAAAGACCTGAGGAACAGAATAATATCAAGTAGGTTTTGCTTGGTGTTTTTTTGTTTGCTTGGAGTTTTTACTTTAGTGGTATTTTTTGGTTGTTTGGTTGTTTTTTTCCGGAACCAATTCTAGGAAGGCAAAGCTATTATTTACTTGATCTTTGCAGCATTTCAAGTTTTCACAGAAGAAACAATTATATACAACCTATTGTTCACTTACCCTGCTGTCTCTGTACACATCAAAAACAACTGAAAAGGAGAAAAAAATGTTAATTGCAAAAGATATATGATTTCAAAAAAAGATATCTAAATCTGAACAAATACTTGTGTACACAGCACAATCTGCAAAATCAATATGTCTAATGAACTGCATGCCAGAACTGGGTATACTTCTAAGATGGAGCTGAAACATTTCAAGAACTATTGCTAATGCACTGGGAAATCAGCTGCTGGGTTTTTCCATTTAATGCTGGTTTCTTCTGTTGTTTTTTTCTCCCATGAAGAATATTTGATAAACTCTTAGCCCAGAGAGCTTATCTTTGACATTACTGCTGTTTTGTTTACAGCAGAACAGAGACGTTTCAGGGAAGGATCAAGATTTCATTGTGTTGGACATTGCACAAACATTTAATAAGAGAAGGTTCCTGCTCCACAGACATTAGGATTTCAGCAGCTAACAAGACAAACAGGTTGTAGGAACAAAGGGTTCGGTGGCAGTGAAATGGCCATGTTTGATGTCACCCAGAACAGACACAGCACACCTAATTAATATCAACAAATCCTTTAAACAACCCCCTTGCCACTCAGTGACTGACTCAAAGCTGCCTTGCCTGGCTCCACTGTTGTTCCTCCCCTTGGCTTAATTAAACATGTATAATGCGGCTTTCTGTATATGCAGCTTTCCATCAGCTTCTGTTCTGGATGGTTAAACAAATCTTTGAGCTGTCTTTCTATTGAGCTAAGGAAATCAACAGGGAAGCATTCAGGCATGGCTACATGCAAAAGTTGTATCAGTTTAGCAGGAAGAAAGGAAAAATGAAAAAAAAAAGATTTAGAAAAGCCTCAGACAAGTGCTTTATTGTTATTTCCTTCACTAATAAGGGAATATTTCAGCTCGGAGATTTCCCAATACATGTGGATAAACTAAATTCAGGATATGACTGCAGAACACTTGAGTCTCAGGAAGCTGCCTGTCAGGAACAGGGATGTTGACTGATCACATCCATGCATGTAAAGCTTAACCTGACATTTCATGTGAAGTTGGCTGGGCTAAGGGCAAACCACAACTCCACAAAGCCAAAGCCAGTCACGTAGCTGGTTTTTACCACACAGCCTAAAAATCCACGCAGCTTTTGCACAAGCTGGGCTGCGTCAATGTCAGAGTCACTCCAGGATTAAGTGCTCTGCTCTCCCAGGAAGACAAGCCCTCAGTGGTTAAGCCAGTCATCAATGCAAAGGGGGGTACAGGATTTCTTCTCCAGCTGTTCAACTGAACTTAGTGCCTTCCTAAGTACCACATCCTCTCCTTAGTCATAGCCAAAAGACATCCCTTGCATCTGAGGTTTCTATAGTGAGGCCTGTCAGCCTAAAGCAAGCCCATGGCAATCACTGAGGCTAATGGTATTTGTTGGGATTCACACAGCTGGAATTCAGACTGATTGCACTCTGGTGACTGGTTCAGGACAGTCACAAACACTGAACAAGAAGAAAACCTGAATTATTCCCACTCTCAGAGCAGGAGTGTCCTGTGCCAGTGAGACTGGAGTGAAACTTCACCAGAAACTGCTCTAAACAGAGGGAAAGCCAAAGCTCAGCTCTGCACTATCAACACCTTCAGAGCACTGCTCTTACTGGGCTCTTATCAAAGGTATTTAGAAGGTTCTAACATAATTTAGAAGTATTTATAAAGCATTCATCCATCTGTTATCCTACTGCTCTGACTCTGCAATGCTTCAGCTGCTCTGACTCAACTCTTCCATCTGGAGATGCTACCAGACCAACTGGAAAAAGCAGAGCAAACAGCATCAAAATCCCCAATGAAACAAGAAGTCAGGAAAAAAAACTGTAATACCTTTCCTTTTAAAAGCAAACAAACAAGCAAACCCAGATTTTTATTGTTAACAACACATATGCTACCAGGCATGGATCAAAGGAGATGATGGGGGATAAATGCAATGTGGTTAAAAAAAAACCACCCACAAAACCACAGAAAACATTTTCTGCATGGCATTTCTCTGCAGATGGACCAGCATTTAGTGCCTAAGAATAAAAGGTTAACAAACCTTCATCCCAGAAGGTTGCCCTGAAACCTCCTTTCCCTCAAGGCAACTCAGATGGCACCCCTTACATAAGATGACATTTCAGACCTCTCAGTTCACCAGACAGCCATTTCAGAGCCTAAATCTAGGCATCAATTTCCAAAAATAGTGCCCTGAATTCTTATCTATCAGTTGATTACATACCAGCTAAAATTACATTGAAACACAGAAGAAAATTAAAAGGCAGTAATCAGAATGCCAGATCTCTATATGACTGATCATACTTCAAAATGTAATGGACTTATTAAATTAATGTACTATTCTGCTGGTCTTCTCCAAGCAGCAGTCCATGAGAACTTCCCTGGACTGAAACAGAGCAGCTTTGCAGACTCAAATGTTTAAGAATTTCAATATAACAGAGACTGGCACTTGAAGGTACCTTTTTCAGACAGTTAGAGAGGACAGATCTATTTGACTGTTCTGGTGTCTCAGTAAAACAATGAATAATGTTAAAAACCTACCCAAAGGTTGACTTTTAAAAGCATTAGACATGACAATAAAATTGCCAGAAAATTCTTATGTTTATGGGTTTTTACTAAGCTGAGGTTTGGTCCATGTCAGACCCAATTTAAATTTCTTCATCATGTTTTTCACTACTATTGATCACCCATTACAATGCAAGACCATTCAATTCTCCCTAAACCACATTACAAAACTATTTCAAATCAAATTTGCAAAGGACTTCACATTTAGAGAGCAAGGCAATTTACTTGGACTGATTAGGTGTATCAAATACTGTGGCCTTTATCCAAAGGTTTTGGCACCTAACCTGGTGTGCATTGACATTCTAGAAGAAATAATTAAAACTTATTGAAAATAAATTTTAAAATCTTTTATTAAAGGAATACATCAATAATTTAGCAGCAAACATCTAACAACACCTTTATAAACAAATATTCTTCTCACTACTGAATGTCTTTTGTCAAGGATCTCCTATCCCACTTTTCTGGCATAAAAATTATTTTAAAGTATAAGGGGGAGAAGCTTTTTTAAAAAAGTTATTATGCCTTTTGAAGGGATCTTTCACTCATTTCTTGTATTTTCTTGGAGAGCTCCAGCCTATTCCTTCAGGGTTTTTTGTTGCCAATGTAATGCCAAACTTTTGCTGCTTGACCTGCTGTAGCCACAAGAGCTTTCAGACACTCCCAAGCTAAAGAGAATCAAGCCCTGTGAAAGCAAGAGCAATGAAGAGAGAGATAGATGTATACCCACAGATACCCTCCAGATACTTACAGTCTTCATCCAAGAATTTATATTGTATGTGTTTCTTGAAAAACTCCTGTATGGACCTACAGATCTCCTCGTGTTGCTTAGAGATATGATCATAGTACTGGGTGTAGTCCCTCTGTGATATACCTGTCAATAATTTCAGGTAATTATAATTATAAAGAGCTCTAGACATGCAAAAAACCCAAACAGGAAAAAAAAAAAAGCAGTTATCAGACACAGAAGATGGGGTTTTCCCAAGTTTCTACCATTATTAGTGACTTACTGTTTAGCTTTATTCTGCTATACTTAAAGTACTTCCGTTAGGAATCTCTTCCTTGAACAGCTCTGTCCAGAATTTTGTGAACCTCATTTTATATGAACACACTTTGACTATTTTAAAGTGAATATCAGGAGGTAACTTGCCTGTGTTTAAGTTTCCAGCTCCCATCTTTTCCTTTCAGTTTTATTCCCTTTGGTTACTCTGGTCAAAAACCTTGTTCTGCACATCACACATAGGGACCACAATTTGGAACCATGAAATGCCACAGTGGGAGGCTAAGCTTGCACATTTGCAAAGATGACCTTTGGATACCACAAATTCTCATTTAACTGATTTTTTAAAGTGTGGAATAACACATGCCTGTTTGATAAGGCACTACAGGTGAATCCCTAAGTCCCCAAATCAGTGGGATCACATGTAGGCCAGTACCTTAGTGCTCCCATTTGCTCCCTCAAGGGTTTTCTTGCCTATGTAGACAAACCACCCCTCCTACAAATTCTTAATTTCATACATCTGTCTACAAGACACTGGTTTAAAATGACGTCAACAGGATTATACACTTGCATGCATCTTGATTGACAAGAGTTCTCACACAGAATATGTGTCAACATAAAATATTGCAATACTCTGCTTGACTAATGTAAAATCCAAGACCTGCCCCATCACTGCAGAATGAGTAATTCAGGCTATTTACATACAAAAAGAGACAGAATTCCCCAAGGAACATGTATCAGTGACCTCAGTTTGCTGCTTTAACCATATACAAAATAACAGAGTTCTACTGTAAGAAAATGCTGACTAGCCCCAAAGACATGCTCTTTTTTAAAAAGTTCATATAAAAAGTTTGTGATGTCAGTGGAACTTTGAATTTTTAATACCACTGCAAAGCTTAACTCGAGTCTAAAAAACAAAAACCAAAAGATGACAGCATCTAAGGGGATGCAGATGTGTAACTGGAAAATCATTCATTATACTGCAAGTATCATTCCTTAGTTTGACTGACAGGCTTATTAATTTTAAGAGTATGGGAACATATTGTGAAAAACCTTGGAACTATCTTCAGAAATGCAGCTGGAGTGCTAGCTAAAAAAAAAAAAAAATCCCATACTGGCAGATATACTAGGTTTCAAAACCTGGCCATGAAATGTACAGAGTGCTTAATTAGCCAGCATAAAAATGTTTTGTATCTCTGGCAGTTATGGTGTTCCAGCATCACAAAGCAAGACAGGATTCAGCTCTCCTCCCTTCAAAAAGCTCTGTCAGGAGCCATTAAGCAATATAGACTTAATGGGAAATCTCTGCTATTAGGAAGATAAACTCTTGTTACATAGTGCTGTAATACACTTGCAACTGGCATAAATGGAGAGAAAATGGGAAGATGAGCATAGGAACACCAGAAGGAACAGCAAAATAAAAGGGCTTAGGAGAATGGTGTGTGTTGACAGCACCTGCATTAGCACAGCTCAAATATCTGTGTGCAGCTCCATAGGAAACCCAAATCAGGAAATGAGGAACAAGGAGTGTGCTCCTAAAGGTTCACAGAGGTGGGACTGGGTGGAGCAACAAACTGCTGACAGCTCCCAACAGGTACAAAAAGGCACAGCCAAAACAAGCCCACACTCACCATGCTAAGGCAGGAGAAAGAGTGAGAACTACATAGCCAATACCCCTGGCCTTCCATATCATCACAAGGAACCCTGGACAGACCACTTGTGGATATGGAGCTTGGTGCTTGTGGATATGTAGACATGAGAGAGGCAAAATGAGAAAAAAAAAAAAAATCACTTTCCTTCCTGTAGTCTGTATTTGCTCCATCACTGCTATAACACTTCCTTGTTAGAAGAGTTTAGACAGAATGATTCAACCTTGCACAGAACAAACCTGCACTAATCCTGAGCTATTTGAGTTTCTGCTCATCTCTAAAGGTTTCATGGTAGACCAAACCAAAAGCAAACTTCAGAGTTGTAATTAGCCTGAAATTAAACCCCTCAATCAAGCACCTGTATGTGCACTGGGTTTCTCATTTCCTGCTATAGTCAGCAGAGAATTGTCAACACAACCAGAGGAGTAAAACTGAGCTAAATTTACCCTAAATTACCCTAAATTTACCCTACTCAGCTGCCTACAACACATGCTGTAGCCCAGTCTGCCTGTTCTCCAGCTGCCAGCGGTCTCCCAATGCACCCACGAGCTCTGTGCATGCTGTAGATGGATACCCTGGCTCTTCAGTGCCACTTGAAATGTTTTACAGTTAGGATTCTTCATCTGAGTAACAGAACAACAGGCTCTAACTAAGCTACACTGAATTTAATATGAACTCAAGACACCTCCTACACCTGTGGAGATGTTCTGAACTCCCCAACTTTCTACATAGGGTCATGTATTTGCAGCACAACACACAACTGCCTCTGTATTCATTCTGCAAGCTGGAGACAAAGCAATTTGCTCCTGAATATAAAAGACTCTGCCATTGGGTGAAGCTTCTGAATTAACAATTAAATTAAGAATATTCCCACTGTAATGGCAAGCATGCTGAGTTGTCAGGCTTTCAAATACAGTGGAAAGTGAGATGTGGTAAACCACATTTTAAATTACAGAAAGAATAAGCCGTTAATTTCAGAAATGAGGTGTGAAAAGACAGAAGAATTTTCTTCAACTTCATTCCTTGAAGAATTTTCTCATTCAAGGAATCAGAGAAACTCCTCAAAACTTCATCCAATAATTTTGTTTTTAAGAAATTCCTTACCTAAAAGCTTGTTTTCCTTGACAAAACATCTGAATTCTGCACCAGGGATTAGTTCGCACCATTTGCGAAGAACAAGCTGTGGAAGAAAAACAAATGACAAAGCATTGTTTCAGAAAAGTAACATCATCCTTTTGTGAACAGGTCTTCCTTTTAGAGCTGCAGTTTTGCTGTAATGATGACCACTGATACTAGAAAACAAAACAATCTTAAATCTGCAGTTCACATAATCACCTTTAAAAATATTTCAAAACAATTAGATTTATTATTAATTTCAGCGAATCACAGAATGCTCTCAAGGCGATTGCATCACTAAGGACCATATAGTCTAAACTTGGTTAAAGCAGAAAGGTTCACACTGGAGATTAGGAACCATGAGGACTCTCAAGCATTGGAAAAGCTCCCTCACAGAGGCTGGGCAGCCTCTACCCACTGAGGTTTTCAAGACAGATTTTATAAAATGTCAAGCGAGACAATATGATCTCATTTCTTACCCAGCTTTGAGCATGAGGATGGACTAGACAACCCCTGAGGTCCCTTCCCACTTTAATTTTAAGAACTTCCACTTTGTACAGTATTTATAACTGTGAAATCATTTATGAAACAACTTCCAAGTTACATTAATGATAAAGCATGGAAAATAAGAACCCTGCTGTACAACACAACAAATCTGTCATGGAATTGGCAGAAAGTTGCTCCCTAGCCAAAGGAGCTGATGAGCAGAATTAAATTTATCCAAATCAACCCCTATTCTGGTACACACCCAAGCAGAATTCTGTGACGCCTTTGAAGGCGCAAACCAGTTAAAATAAGGACACAGGACAGAAATAGGAAGCAAACTATTATAGTCAACAGGACAGACTGCCTGGGAGTTAAAGCATCTTTCTGGCACTTTCTCAAATTTCTGTATTTCCTAAGCTGAAATATTCTGAAGACTTGCTGTTTTTGAAGGCCCCAGTTACTGCTACTGGATGCTGGAAACTCCCAAACCCTTTAAACTGCAGCAGAAAGCTTCAGTAACCAGAGATGACGTTCCTAACCTAATGTTAATGGTGTTAACATTAAACTCTTTATTCCAACTTTTAGATGTCCTGTATCTTTAAAGCACACTTGATAGTGCTTTAAAATAAACCAAAGTTCATTCACTTTTGAGAAGCTCTTTAAGCCCACAGCATGATGACAAATGTTATATTTACATCAAAACTATTATTAGAGAGATGACTAGAAGTTACCATAAGAGCAGTAGCTCCACATTAACAGTTTAAAGCATCTCTAGCTGAACATTTTGATCTGGTAACAAACATAGGAAACAAGATGCGACAGACCAGTTCAGGATGTCCCCAGCCACTGCAGAAAAGCCTCACCCTTGGTAACCTCAGTGTGATGTTCACAAGCAGCTCACCATCAAGAATATTTTATTTGAGCTACTGAATTTGTCCTTCCTGTCACAACCTGACAGACATGAGAGGATATTGCAAGGAAGCTTCTCAAGTATGCACTTTAGCCCACCTCATCTGCAATTAAATGAACTTCTTATGACCTGCAGTGCTGAACCAGACTTCCCTTCATATGGAAAGCAACATGAATAAATCAAACATAACACATTTAGTGGACAGAAACTCAGTCCCAAATGTCACCCAGCCAGTGAGCAACTCTTTTAAATTACTTAGAAATCATATAAGGAGTCCTACCTCATAATTCAAGGAAGGATCAGGGGAATCATCTGTACAGTGAATAAATCTGGAAAAGTAAGGCACAGGCTTCAATATCTGCTTTACATGTAAGATTTAAGCCATAGTGAGAAAAATAACCCCAAACTGTGAAATACAAGAACTACTGTTAAATTATTTCCAATATGTACAAAGCAAGTAAGTGCAATACATAACAACAACTCTCCTTTTGACAATTATAATGGAAAAAAACAGAATCACCACCTCTTTTATTCTAGTGCAATCTGGAAGCACTTAAATCCGGACAGGGATGTGTCCAAAACATCAGTGTTTATTCACTGTTGATTTATTTCTGTTTGAATCAACAGCACTGCTCTTTTTCCCTTGTATTGTCATGTTGGCATAACTGAATTTTCAAAAGACCCAATAAACTTGAGCAATCTAATCCAGTTTCACTGCAGCATGTTTTGCCAAGTATTTTTAATGTTTAACTTCCCAAACCACACAACAGAGACACATCATCATGCCTTACAGCAGTTCATTTCCATGAATAGAGGATGCAAAACAGCACTGCTGCTCAGCACTCCTGATTCCACAGCATGGTATCTTTCTAAATTAAGAGCCTTAAGAAATACTCTTACAAATCCCTTGAGAGTGGGAATAAACAGAACTATTTCCACAACTGCAAGTAGATGTCAAGGTTTTGTCCTTTGTGAGGAGCTGACTCTGTCGGTCTCCTTTCAGGGGCTAGCAAAAATGGAGGCAGTTATAAGCCAAGTCAACTTCCATGTGCCTTGCTGTCATTTTACAGAAAACTTGCAATAGATTCTGTAACTTTCAAAAGGTATTCACAGAAGAACATGTGTTTTTCTTCCAGTTCTACTCCCTGACCTTATTGGCAACAAACTACTTGGAAGCACAGAACTGTGTTAAGGGTCACTGCTGAGCAATAGTCCTAAATGCAATATTTATAGGATCTCCTTTTGGCAATGAACTTCATTCAGCAACCCAAAAGTCTCACATAAACATTGCTTTTGTAAGACATGGCTTCCCAGCCTTTGGTTTGAAGTGAAGAGCTATTGTAAGAGTTTATTCTGTATGCTGCCAGCAGAAATAAATTTCACACATTTTAGTTTAGACTTTAATATCCACAACACACAGAAAAGTGGGGCAATATAGGCAGGCTTTCCAAAAGCAAAGTGATCAAACACATCATATATATATATATATATATATATCTGTAAGCCTGTGTAAACAGATAACAACTTTCAACTACAGTTTAGATTCCCTGCAATTTAAGATGTGTCAAGGCAATAGAAACAAACCCATGAGAGCTCACAGTTTCCTAGAGTCAGAATTCCTCTCTTACTAGAGTATATGCCTATCATGCTGAAGAAAATATCCCCCCCACACACAAAGCCAATAATAAACTATCTACAAAGGCAGATGAAGTCCAGCACATGGAGTTTTACAGTGCCTGCACACAAGGACCCATATTACCTCTCACAGACTCCGTATCTGAGATTGGGGTACCTGCAATCCCCTTCATTCCAGTAAGTCTTTTCCAGCAGTCAAAAACCCCCACCCTTATAATCAAAATTATTCCCTAGCTCAACCCTCAAATATTTTGGGTAAGAGCTATGTGGGGAAGGATGGTTCCTCTTCCCTTCTAAATCAGAAAATGAAATCCCTGGGTGCCATCCCAAGCCCTATAGACTGCAGGTATCACTGCCAAATCAAACAAGCAGGCAAAAATACTGCAAGACACAGTAAAGGTATTTTTTTGGGAGCCTTAATGACATAAGACTAAATGCAAATGAGGAAGAAAATGGGTGAACACAGCACAAGACAATATAAATTCATGTTTTTGTAATCTAATTTTCCTTCTTAATATTATCATGAGTTTTCATTGACAAAAGGCCACCTTTATCTGGTGAGTAAATTTTGGGCAACCTGAGGTTGCAATTTTATATTTTTTACCAGCTTATTGTGGCATTTATTGCTGAGAACCATGTGAACTTGTGTATTACAGATGGGCTTTTGATCACTAGAGGCACAATGCTAAGTGGGGTGTCTTCAACCCACATCCTATTCAGGTTTGGACCTACTTGAAAGAATAATCAGAAAGGTGTCAGGAACCCCAAATTGAGACATACTTGGGCTGTATTTTCTAAAGCCTCTGAAAATGTTCATTTTGAGTGAAGGGATCAAACTCTTCTGTTGTGTTGTAGTCAACAGCTTTTTTACAGAGTTACACTTAGAAGTCAAGACCAGAAGGATCAAGATTTCTTTATATGTGGCAACTCTATGTCAAACTCCAAATGCAAATACTCGACCACAGGACATGCTACAAAAAGCCATTATGCAGGTCAGTCTGCAACACTGAGAAAAGCAATTTAATAAGGTTGGCAAGTTTCTCCAGGACCTACCCTGCTAAGAAAGCCATGAACTCATCTGCAAATCACTGAGAGAATTAGGAACTATTATGAATATTAAGAGAATGGTAAAATTTATTCTGTACCTGATACTTCTCTGTTATTATCTCATAGTTTATTTTAAAATCTTATTTTAAAAAGATTAAGGAGAAGTTTTTAACAGTTTTTGAACTGTAGCTTTATTCCTTGAATATTAAACCTTGCTGGAACTCTGAGGCCTAAAAGAAATAGGAAATTCATACACCACTGAAAAGAGAATCTTGTACTACACCGTAAATTGCTAGGACAAATGGGCAAGAGTAAAACCTCAAGAAAAAAATATCACCATCAAAGGCCTTGTTTTCCACATCCTCTCGTGTGCAACTGCCTACCTTGAAACAATTTATATTAAAGCCTAGACTATCAGCTCCTGATCCTGCAAAAAGATACTGGAGTGCTAAGGCACATTCTTCATGATCCAACACTGCCTCCTATGTTCTGTTAGGAGAACACAGGCTGTTATTCCTCCACATCTTCCACATCTCAAAAAACTTTGAAATTTCCCTACAGTTTGGAATTCAATATTAAAAGCATTAAGTCTGGCATCAGAAAGGTTGTCAGAATGCAGGGGCATTATCACATCATTAGAAGTACTGCTAGTATTTCTACCAGTCTCAAGGGAAGCAATCAATCATGTTTTAACAAAACATAGTCCACCCATTCTAACAATAGGAAGAAAACTGTATTTTACACCAATACATCCATCAGTGCTATACAGAGCTTTTTGTTCAAAAGAGTAATTTTAATCACTTAACAGAAATCCCAGTTAGAAAGGTTTTTTTTTTTTTATCACATATACTCAACACTAGATTTCTGAAAGCCTGCATTAATGCCCAAAAAAATTAAGATCACACCACCCACAAGATTTTTTGTGAATTCAGCTAAGTTAAAATACAATGCTGACTTTGAAGCAGAAACAACATCAACTGCATTAATGAGTACATCGCTCTGAAGTCTTTGTTAATTTATTTAAAATTAACATGCTGGGAAGGTGATTCATTAGTCTGACCTCTTCAACCAAGGTGTCAGCATCATGAGGGAATCCAAACTTTTAAAACAGTCAAAGCAATTTAATCCTGCTCAGTGTATTTGCACTGAGTCCATACTTTTTAATAGTTTATATTGAAGTATTACATGGTTGAAGCTTCGAACTTGAGACAGCTGAGAATTATAACAAGGGCATTCCCTGAGCTGAACAATGTTTAGAGGCAGACAGGAAATGGAAGTGGAAAAAAAAGGCAAAGAAAGTGGTTTGCCTTAAGTCCTACATCATTGGCTTAAGTTTCTAGGTTAAAACCCAGATTGCAGCATGTTTACCATGCTGCACGTTTACCATTATGACCCATGAAGTAGGTATTTAAGTTTATACAATTGCACAGGAAACAAAACAACACCAGAAAAAGGGTACTCAGCATTTCAACTGTTACTTATATGGGGCAATAAACCTTTAGACCATACTGAGTATTATTGACAAAGTAGAAATATAGTGCATTTCCCCTCTCTCCAAGTAGTCCTTCCAAGGGATTTGGATGCATTATGTATGTAATTTTCATTTGTTCAGCACTTCAGGTTCTTATGCCAGTTACATTTTTAATTTCTGCTTGCTAAGGACTAGTGAACTGGCAGCTAATCAATAGTATAATTAAGGACGACCACTGTTCCAATTTAGCAATAATCATTGCACTGTTTGGGGACATTCTGTACAAATAACTTTGTAATTTAGAAGTACCAAGCAGAGGCTGGACAATAATATATGCTCACTACAAAAAAGTTAACCAAACAGGAATACTGCAAAGAGCTCTAGGTACACTTTGCTGAACCTCTTTATGCATGAAGACAATAAATATAAATTCCATACTATTTAACATTCACAAAGGGATGATGTAAACTGTGCAGTCCTTTTCAGACCTACAAGAATCAGTCCTGAAAGCCATTGCAACAAAAATGTTACTGCTCAACTCTGTGAGCAAGCCATCCTCCAGACACTCCAGCTCTCATTAGGGGAAACCATGAAAAGCAGCTCCTTGGGAAGGCACCAAAGGCCTCCAAGAATTCTCTCACCTCTGACATGTAAACTATAGATTTTTCATCTCTCCCATTCCTCTGTGACCCCGGAATAATGAATTTTCATTCTTCACAATTGTTTCCCAAGCCCAGCATACTTTTCAAAATGTTTTATCATGCCAATATCTTCTCCTGTCCTCCTCAGCCTCTTTCCCAGCACCTCCTCTCATTGCAGGCTAGACATGATATAAAACCCAACATCAGAATTGGACTTACAGCTTTACTGTCAAGAGCCCCTTTTTCTTTTCTCATGTACCAAAAACTGGGGGAAGAGAGTCTCATTAGAGTTGTAGGAATAAAAAAGAAGGCAGTTGCACATCATTAACATAACTGGTTTCACACTTGAAACAGAAAATCAAGACATAAGCCAATTAACATGAAACTTACACCTGTTAACCCCCTATGAGGCACCTAGAACAAAAGCTCTGCATTTGACTGAGTCTCCTAAAATATCCTGTGCTGAAACAAGCATTGAATAATTACTGGAAAATAATCTCTCAGATACCAAGCCATGGATTGTCTCTTTTCTTTGAAATTCTGCTTGTCTGGGAAAAAAAACAAAAAAGTAACCATAGTAACAGAAACATCAACTCCAGTAATCTCATTTTCTTTCAGAAAAATGTTGTATTTTAGAAATTAGTGACATAAATCAAGGAGATGCAGGTACTACAGGAGGAAACTGTTCCTATACCATTAAATAGTCCCTTCATGTGAGCAAATAAAAATCAATACCAAGCACATAATATTTTTAAATTTATCTGCAATTGCTATCCTTAGACACCTGGATTGTATTTGTTTCAAGAGCTACAAGAACTTGGGTTCGGAATAAGCTCTAGAAATATGTGAAATATGTTAGCAGAAGTCTCAAGCATCTTCCAGGCAGCCAAACAAACTTCAACAGCTTTAAAATACGAGGACATGGTAAAGTCACACTGTATTACCATAAGAAGTGGTACCAATAAGGAGGGTAGCAACAAGTAAACACCAAGAGGGGAGGGAAGGCAAAAAATCTCAAGAATACAACATGACTTGTTCTGAAAAGGTTGTGAAAAAGCTAGGTTCTTAGCCCATAGTGTAAAAGCACACTGGTGTGATGTGCTACTTTAATGTCTTTCTGGTTTGCTTTTGGCTTTTTCTGGCTGCGTTTAACTAAGACTGCCTGCTGGAAATCGACTTACGGCTGAGTGAGGTCACGAGTGATGAAGTCTGAACTCTTGAAGAGGAGGAAGATGTCACTGAGAGCTTTACATTTCAGAGAGCTGTTCATTGCTATCCAGTAGGCATCCTAAAGAAACACAGAGATTACCTGAAACACACCTTTATTAGCAGGAAGGACTGCAAACTTCAAGCCTATCTAAATATTATGCAACGTTTGAAATACATGCAAAAAATTATTTCCTTTTATTTTGAGGAAAACTTCATTGGTGGTTAAAAGAGACAAAATGATTATTGCTTTTTTTTTATGAATACTTTGATGAAAGCAGTGCAAATTCATTTGCAAAATTAAGTTTTTGCCTTACTGCTTCCAGGAACTTTCTTGGAATGCTTGATTGAACACAATGTCTCTTGACAACACAAAATAATATTTGGATGCACTCATCCTTCCAGTATAGTTAAGAGTACCTAGAATTAACTAGAGGAAAGTTTATTGCCTTTTTAGAAACTGTGGTTACTTTTCATCTTTATACCAAGTAAAGGTTTCAACTAGTATCCTGAACAAGAGTCTGCCCATCACACAACCATCTGTGACCAGGATATAGGTTTTAGATAGGAAAAGTCAGTGCTGCCATGCATCAGCCTCCCTAAAAATGCACCATCACCACCTAGTGATAGACAAGATATCAGTGAAGTGCTGGATTCCACTTAGAGTAAAGAATCCAGCGCTTCACTGCTACCTTGTGTATCACTTCTTCCTTCATCAGAACCACTAGTCTCTTCTTCTTTCCAAAGCATTGAGAGAAAACAAACACAAAACATTTTGTACAACAACATCTGTTACAAGTTTTGGGAGTCAGCATTCTTACCCTTGGAGCACTCCAATTGAGTTTAGGAAAAACACTGCCACCCAAGGAACTTATTGCTTCCTGAACTTTAGCTGTGAACTCAGGAAATTCTGGTGCCTGAATGAAGAACAGCAGCAAAAATATACATTTCAATCCATTTATTGATGAAGTATAGCCATCTTCTAAATATTATTAGAAATATACATTGCATTAGAAATAAGTCCAAAATCAGTATGAACCTCAGAAACATGGCATACAATAAAATCACTTAAATAAATCACTTCAAATCTGTCATTTTTTTCAATCAGAGAAAACTGAAAATGCTCCCAGTTCTCACTCTCATTACTAGCAAGTATCATGAACTTCTGGAGAAAACCCAAAACATCATAACAGTCACCATGAAATCTCCAATAGGCAGCAAAAATACAAGTCAAATAACCAAACCTTAAATCCTTACCTTGTTGGTTTATATCCTATGGTACATTATTGTATACAAATAAGATCCAGTAATATTTAAACTTCTAAAGAGTGATTTTAGAATTAAACATATATTTATTCATAGGCACTTTGAGTGACAGCTGCTCATTTAGGCTCTAGTTTTATAAAATGTAATACTTTAACTAATCAGCTCTTAAATTAGGTCTTAAAATAGCTGCTTAACAATATATTGATTCAAAATAGAGCACACACTGCAAAGGTTGGACGAGAAAACCTTGCCTTGTAAAGAATATTGAAAATCTAAGATTGAGGTAAAAAAACCCTCAACTCTTCAGTTTGCTCCAAACTCTACCCTGAATGTGGTGCTACAGAAAAAAAAACCAGGGTGCTTACCTTTAAAATAATATGAAAGAATTTGAAGCATACATGAAAGATTTTTCATATAACAGAATTTATAGCTAAAAGCATACAGGAGCACAATTTCTGCCTATTTTGAAACTCAATTCAAAAGTAACTCATAGGCTAAAGCGAATTGATATCTCTTAAACAACAAAACACTCACAGCCACACAAATGAATAAAAAAACTCATACATTCTGGCATCTCCTCACTGCAGCTTCCCCAAATGCAAACACTTAAAAAAACCTTCCCATATTTTAGTGCAGTGACCTAGACTAAACTTCAAGCATTTTGATCCTTTCCTTCATAGATTACCTAGTCTCCATGGGAAACTATACTTGAAAAACTGAAAAAAACACTTCTCTAATTTTATTTTTAGACTTTCAGTTGATTCTAGAAACTGCTCCTGAAAGATGTAAAACTCTTCATCCACTGCATTCTGATCCAAGTTTCTCTTGTTTTGACAGAAATCAGGAGTCCTACTATGCATGTAATACCAGCACATACTAAGCCTCCTTGGGAAAATGTTACCAACATGTTACTTGATTAACACAAGAGGATAAATATACAAACAAGAGGAAAGTTCTACAACTGCATAAAAAAGCTGGACTTCAACATTTCCCGAATTTTGAATGCCTGGCTTTGTAACCATTAATATTAATGCAAGTTATTCTAAAACCAGAATTTTTTGCCTCATGAGGAAGCTGTAGACTTACCTAGATATAGTAGAGTCATTTGCCCTGTGCTCTTCTGACAGGTAAATATTTCTTAATTTTGTAATTCCTTATTGTGTTCTATATTATAACAGAACCTGATTCAAAACTCTGTTATTAGTTATTTAGCATCATTACCATGAGCTTTGCAAACCATATGATGGATTCTAAAATCCTTGTTTTAAATAATTTACAATTAAGGGAATCTAGATTATCAAAGGTTAAATATTTGAACTGAAGATAAATCAGTGTGCAAAAATTTGAAATGTACTGGTTTTAAACTCTAGGCAATAAATTCTGTGCTAGCAGAAGCACCACTCAAAGCAGGGCTGTGATTATGGCACCTAATCCAACATGAGCAATTCCACACCCCGATGAACATTAGGGAGCTAAAGGACTGAAGTCACAGCATCGATGGCAGACAAGTGCCTTGAGTACTTCAACTCTGACAGCGACAGGGCAACAGCAAATTTCAAAAAAAGATGTCAGAAAAAGATCAAGAAAGCCTGGTTTGCATCCATTATGATCTTGATTTCACATCCAAGGAGACCATAAAGACAGGAAAAGAAAAAAACCATGATAGAGAGAGATGTACTTGGAAGAAATAATGGCACATCAAGAAAAGAGCTGTGAAGATTGAGCTGCAGGGGCTTCGTTTCTTCTGCATCCAGTCTGATTAAATAATTTGGAGAGACTCAAAGTGGTGAAAATGAAAGACAGCTATATTTAGAGCTGTACTGAAGTTAATTTCCTAGAGTCTAACAAGTGTATGATTGTCAGGGATGAAGAAGAGTGTTTTATTTTAGTTAAATAAAATTAAGCCAGCAAAACCTTTTTGAAGTTACAGACACTTATATTGTCATCCATCTAAAATGGTCTGAAAAATGTTAAATACAGCAAAAGATATCTCTAACCAGCAACAAGTTTATATCACAAGGCTGCAGAAAGGAAACTGCTGACAAACCCACATTGGGCTTTTACAGGACCTTACCTTAAGTGTTGTAGTGTTCTCATCATCCGACCACTGTTCAAAATAAGAACAAACCAAAGGTTACCAGCTTCCTGAGCCATCCTTTATAATTTATGAGAACATCAGAATTCATATAGCCTCTTACAGCATGTAGATCAAATCATTGCCCCAGACAGCAAAACATGACCATCCTGCAATTATTTTGGCTGTAAAGTAAGACAGGAAAAACACTGTGTATTCAGCAGAAGTACTACTCTAAAGTATTGATAAAAAGATACCTGTATATATTTCAATTTTGATTTATATCAGAAAGATGGACGTTTCAGAACTCAGTCTTCCCTATCTACAGCTTGCCTCCAGCTCCAGCACTTCCACCCTTAGACCCAAGATCCACTAGTTACACTTCTATTTCTTTTTCATCTCCTTGTTGTACCTTCACCCACCTTGCAATTACAGCATTTTTCAGTGTTTTCCCTCTAGAATGGCCTTCTGAGTTACTATGGTCTCAGAAACTCGCACTGTTTCTTTAAGTAACTACTCCAAATGTACTCCTAATTTTTCAGGGCATGAAACAGCATTAAGTTCAATTGCAACATTCCCCAATCATTATTACAAATGCAATTACCAAGAAATAAAAAATAAAAAAAGTCTTCTATGAAATAACATAGAAATACCTTAAACTTTCCCTGACTCCACAGCATAAGTTATTACATTTCTATGTTTTTCATGGTAACTACAACATGACAATTATTTCTGTGAAAGACTCTCTGCACTTGTAAGCTATCCAGAAAAAGTATTACATTCATATTTTGCTCAAGAGACTTGACATAAATTTGCATTTTATGCTGACCTGTATCTCCTCTGCATCATCACTCCCTTCCTGAGCGTGACTTGGCAGATCTTCTCTGAAACAAAAAATTAACAGGAAAAGGAGTAAGCACTGGAGTTTGACTTGACCATGTCCATTACATTTCCACAGCATTTCCAGCTCTCAGTGTCAAAATGTTTTCATAAGAAGATTAAACCTCAAAACTCTGGCAGAGAAAAATCAGAGAAGCCAGTACTGAAAACTGAAGACCAAATAGCTGGCATTAGGCCTAGGTCCTACCCTGAACACTTTGCTTCTTTCAAATTAGCAGATCTGTTTTTGCTCTAAAACACCTTAATTGAAGATTTTTGACACCCTGTTAGTGATTCTTTTCCAACTTTACTGTACTCTGACACAAGCACAAATTTAATTTTTTTAAAAAACAAGTTCAGCTAAAATTTTTGCCTCCATACTCCCTTTCCAAGAAAAAATCATAAATCTTGAGTTTCAAATGTTGACCTGTGAATTTCTGGCTCTGAAAAGAAAATGTCCTCACACTCAGCATACAGACAAAGAAGATCCTATGGAGAGTGGAGAGTGTAGCAAACAGGGCAAAGTTAAACGTAAATCCCTACCAAAAGTCAATTCTTAGACAAGCTGAGTCTCTGCAGTCCCTCAATGCACTTCCATAGGGACTAAACCATTAATCCAGTTTTTGAGATCTAGAGGTCAGACAGGGGTGCACTGAAAGTTAAAAGCAGTCTTGGCCTTGAGTGCAAGAAGATCACCTTCACTTACAGCTAAGGAAATTCAAGTCAGAGAAAAAATGGTTTCTAAAAGATGCAAACATCTTAAAAATCTAATTTAAGTCAATCATACAGCTGTCCATTACTCCATTGAAGACAGCAAAATTATAGAACACAACTGTTAAGTCAAACCTTCAATGTCAGCTTTTCTAAAGGGTTATTAAAATATACAGCTGCTGCTAAATAAATTGCACAATTCTGCAGAAGCAGGTGACAATGCTGCTTCTGATCCAAAATAGTTTACAAAACAATTCTAATTTTCTGGATATCTTTTAATAAGAAAAATAATTTAGAAATTAAAAATTAAATCCTTTCATGTTTACAAGGCATTTAAACAGCTTCAATTTTTATATAAGTTGATACCTTATAAATCAGACCAAGCTCCCTTTCACACACAGCCTCACTGTTGCTCTGCAAGGGGCAAACTACCAGGCAGGGAATCATGGAGTGAGGACTGATTTCTGGGTTTGATCATTAACAAGATGCATGCAGCAACCATTCCACAAGGAAACCACACAGTGAGATCCTACACAGGAACAAAGAGCGGGGCCTGTTCCTGCTGCCTCTCCACCTCATTCTTCTGCATCCAAACTCCTGGCATGGGTGTACATACAGGACATTCAGCTTTGTCATATGCATGGATTACCCATATGCAAATGATTATATAAAGTGCTACTAACTATTGAGTCTGTATATAGATTATTTTATTAAGAATTAAGCTCAGGTAATATCACCTCACCCCTGGACTCATATGGGACAGGTCAAGCCTGTGAACTGGACCCAGCTAGATCCAAAGAACCAAACACAAACCAGCAGCTGAGCATCCCAGAGACTGGTACACTCCCCAAAGAAAGGTGGGGAAAAAAATGAAAGGACTTTGTCCACTTGTCTAGAAGGAATTGTAGTTCATGGATTTTAAGACCTGCTTCAGGCACCAGCAAATCCAGCTGTACTAACAACAGTCAGCCCATTCACATGCTCACACAGTGTGAAGTTTACTGCAGTCACACTGGTCAAATTTAAAAACTCATTATGCTCAATACAATATATATATACAAAATGGTGCTGTGAATATAAAATGGCATTAATACTTGGAAGCTGGGGAGAAAACACACTTTACCTTCCAGAAACCACCAGTGTTCCATCATCCAGCAAATATTCTTTCACATTCTCTGGCAGGGGAAGTATAACACTGGAAGAAATGCGAAAATCTCTTTAATACCTTATTATTACTTGTTATAAAAAAATCCTAGTGAAATAAAAGATTTTGGCTTTTTCATAGCGCACACTCCAACAACACTAGGTTTTGTCCTCTAACATTATAGAAGAAAATGCTCTTTTGCCCATCTTATCCCTCACTCAAAAAAGCAATGCCCCGTTTTCCCTCCATGGAAGTATAGGACAAAAATTTTAGATGAAATACACAAAAATGCCCCACTCCTTCAAAGCTCTAAGAAATTCCAAGTAAAATTGTGTGCAGCTTGTGAAGAGGTAACATGTTGTTCAAACTAAAGTTTTTTCCTTCTGAAATCTGAATCAAAATTTGCCTATGCCATCCTAATGTTCCAAAGATGCAGGACTGTCACTAAACTTACCAAAAGTAAGCCTGTGTTAAACATTACGAAAGATAAAAGATCAAATGCTTTGATTACTAAAAGCATGATGTCAGCACTTTTTGATCCAACAGGGTGGCTATCTTGACTTTCCTGAGCTACTGGTAGTTCTTGTAACTATCTCATGATCTCTAGCAGCACTTTAGAAACTGCAGAATCGCCTATGGCTTCCAGAAATACACAGAAACACCAAGCTGGCCACTTGGGTTGGATCTCCTGAGTCACAGTTTAAGTAGGCAAGCAGAAACAGTGTAGGTATCTTCTGCTCAGCATGGAGTGCCACCAGGAGAGCAGGGAGCACAGGGGTACCTGGCCTGCCCCAGGGCTTCCCAAAACACTCCCTTGGGATGTAGAGACAAGACCCCAGCTCCCTGGACTGCAGCTGATGGTTCAATCAATCTTTCACCACCTCCATCCCAGCTCTGCCCTCTGTCTCACCCAACCCCACAAAATCCCAGAATGGGTCAGGTTGGAAGGGACCACAGGGCGCATCTGGTCTGACCTCCCTGCTCAAGCAGGGCCATCCCAGAGCACAGGGATGTGTCCAGACACTTCTGGAATATCTCCAGGGAGGAAGACTCCACAGCCTCTCAGACAATCTGCTCCAGTGCTCGGTCACTGCTCAGGACAGAAGTTCCCCCTCATGTTCAGGCGGAATTTCCTGGACATCAGTTTCTGCCCTTTGCCTTCTATGGCTGGGCACCACCAAGCAGAGCCTGGTCCATGCTTTGGCACCCCCTCTTTAAATATTTATATTTACTAATGAAGTCCCCTCTCAGTCATCTTTTTTACTTCCAGTACCTGAAGGGAACTTGCAGGAAAGATGGAGCAAGACTATTTATAAGAGCTGGTAGTGACAGCACACAGGGGAATGGGCTCAAATTGAGAGAGAGTTGGTTTAGACAGATATTAGTTTTAATTCTTTAGACAGATATTAGTTATAAATCCTTTCTTGTGAGGGTGGTGAGGCCCTGGCACGGGTTTCCCAGAGAACTGTGGCTGCCCCATCCCTGGAGGCTGGGAGCAGCTTGGAGCAACCTGGTCTAGAGGAAGGTGTCCTTGCCATGGCAGGGGATTGGAACCAGATCATCTTTAAGGTCCCTCCTAACCCGAACCATTCTGTGATGCCCGAGGCTGAACAGGCCCAGTGCCCTCAGCTTTTCCAGTCCCTGAACCACGCTCGTGGCCCTGCACTGGACCCGTTCCAGCAGCTCCAGGAGCTCCAGGAGCTCTGAGGGCAGAGCGGAGGGGCAGGTCGCTCTCCCTCGCCCCACAGCGCTCCCCTACGCCCGCACCGCCTCTCCCAGCCCCGCCGCGCCTCACCGCCCACACCTGCGGATGGTGACGGCCTTGAAGAGCGGGTACCACAGGGAGAACTGGCAGTGCGCCACCTGCTCCTTCTTCATCCTCCTCTTCCTCCTCCTCCTCCTCAGCCCCGCCGCTCCCGGAAGCTCCCGCTCCGCCCGGAACCTCCCGCGCAGCTCCGAGCGCCGCCCGGCGCCATCGCCGGCGCGCAGAGCGCAGCTCCGCCCCCGCCGCGGCTCCGCCTCCGCCGCCTCAGCGCTGCCGGAGCCGGCGGCGCTCGGAGCGACCCGCGGCTGCCTCCGCTCTGCCCTGCCCTGCCCCGAGGAACAGCTGAGTAACGCCTTATCCTCGTAGGTTCTGCTGTCCGCTCTCTGCCCGCGTGTGCCCTGCGTGGAGCTGCTTCATGGGATGTTCAGGGGCTGGAAGGGATCTTAAAGATCATCCAGTTCCAATCGCCCCCTGCCGTGGGCAGGGACACCTCCCATGGGACCGGGTTCATGGAGGTTTTATCTGTCCTGGCATCCTCAGCTCCCTGGGCAATCCCTTCTGGTGTCTCACCACCCTCACAGTATTTCTTCCTAATACCTCACCTGAATTTCCCCTCTTTCAATTTGTACCCATTACCCCTTGTTCTGTCACTACAGCTCTGATGAATAGTCCCTCTCCAGCTTCCCTGCAGCTCCTTTAGGTGCTGGAAGGTGCTCTGAAGTCTCCACACAACCTTCGCCGATTTTCTCAGCCTGTCTTTGCAGGGGAGGTGTTCCAGTCCCTTTATCAAGTTCTTGGCCTCCTCTGGACTTGCTCCAGCAGTTCCCTGTCCTTGCAGTGTTTGGGACACAGGAGCTGCACAGAGCTCCAGGTGGGCTCTCACCAGGGCAGGGCAGAGGGGCAGAACCTTTGGATGCAGCCCTGGGCTGTGAGCTCGCATTGCCAGCTCCTGTTAAGTATTTTATCAACCACTATTTCATTTTGCTCTGTCACAAGTCAAGCTTGAAGAGAGTAGTATGGGGGATAGTTAAGCCCCGTGGTTCAGCTGTTGTGTTCCCTGCATGGCATTGTTTCCATGCAGTGGTTCCTCCTGTGCTCTCCCATCTGCAGTTTGGGGATGTCTCCCCAACCTCAGCTGTTGGGAAGTTTGATAACAACATGGACCTGCTTCTCACCCTCTTCTGCTTCTGTGAGATAATCCTTGTTTGCTTTGCAGTTACTTGCCCATGTTTTATTTGGCACTCAGTGGGTCATCCATGCTTCTAGATACTATGATAAAAATTAAACTTTTTCCCCCTACTTTTCTCCCTGCCCTCAACTTAATTGCTACTTAATTGATATTGTTTCTATAATCATAGCACTGAAGTGCAAGTAACAAGGTTAAAGTACTTTAGGAGTTTTTATTGATGTTAATCTTCAGACTAGGTATTCAGAGTGTTGTTGGTTAGATTGTACGTAAAATGTTGCCAGTGTCTCTTTTGCACATTCTTTATAAGAAAAGCTGTATTTCATTTGACCTTGAATTTGCCATGGGACTCCCCCCATTGCAGAGCTTTCATTAAATCTGGTTGTTGTCAGCTGGAATGTGTGTTTGGATCAGAGAATGTCTTCTGAAAAGTGTTTAGGAAAGCTAATCCATCTATCTAAGTATTAATATTAAAGTATAGTTCTGATATCTTGACTTCTCTCTCGAACTGATTCACAGACCTTGGTTGGCTTAAGATTTTAATGGCTGGGAAGGATAATTTGGAAACTGTAGAATGGCTGGATACTGCCTTGAAAGGAAGCCACTCCATAAAGAAATAAGCAATGGGAATAAAGTTACATGTTTTATAAATGACATGGCTTTTTCAGGACAGAATTTGAGCCCAGTTTGAAATAAATGGAAGAAGTAGCATGATTTGCCAGCAGTACACTCTAACACTGGGCACAAAAACTAACAGAGAAAGTAGAAAACATTTATTTTTCCCCATAATTAATAGTTTGAGTGCTGTTGATTCATGTCAAGGCAGCTGATAAATACGGACACTTTGACATATTCTTAAGATTGCATTTATAACAACTAAAAATGTGTAATCTTAGAGCTCATGTAATCCTCATTCAGGTAGTCAGACTGCTGTATCAGCTGCATTCAATTTTTAACTCAAATGAACTCATATTTATATGCAGAGGGAATTTTATGAGATAGAAGAACTGCAAGACAAGGCATGATCTGAAAGCTAAATCGGCCTTTAGAAACCTCACATTTTAGTGTTAAATTTTATTTTCAGTTGCTGCTAATTTTGTTTATGAAAAAGAGATGTTGCCATCCTTGACAACATGACTAACATGAGATGCCAGAAATGCAGCCTTCATTTAACCAAACAGTATTTCAGCTTGCTAACAGCAGAAATTCTCACTTCTATACTGCCAACCGAATCTGGACAAAAATACTATTTTGATAGAACTTCTAAAAATGTCACTATACATAGAGTTACTGCACCCACTTGTGGAGGAGACCCAAATTACAGAAGCTGGGATAGATCAGCATTCCTCTCTCTTTGAGATGTTCACCCATTTTAGGTGAACTGCTGAATCTCTCAGGAGAGAACAAGCTGTTTTGAAAACAGGTTCTGCCATGAGATGAGATTCTAGTATTTTTTTTTTTTTTTCATGATACAACTGTGGTAATTCACGTTTGAAAAAAATACAGTGGTATTTGTGCAGAAGGATTAGTGAGATCAATGGAACAGGATTTCCTGTGAGGGGAGAGTAAAAGAGGAAGACTTAGCCCAATCTAAAGACAACTTTAACAAGGCTATGGTTCACTCTCTACTCCTTTGAATATTTATGTTGACAATGCAAAAAGCTATAATTCATTCCAAATGTAGGAGGTGAATTTGCTGTAGCTGGGTATGTAAGATTTGTGTGTTTTTAAAGACATCACACAGAGCCTCCTCTGACTGTTTCTCCTGGGCTGTGCTGCTTTTTCCTATGTTTGGTGGAAAGCTTGATCTTGTGTTTGAGAATCACAGCATGAGACCATGGCCATTGTCCAGATAAAACTCTTCAATCCTAAGAGAAGGGAGTTCCAAACATTGGAACAGCTGGCTGAACTGAAGTGGGATAGAAACTAGAACACAAACAACTGAACAGTTTTTCATACAAACAGTGGTAAGATAGATAATAAAACTATGTAGTTTTGAAAAGGAGCTTCATTGCCTTCAGAGAATATTATAGAACTTTTTTTTTTTTTTTTTTAAAGGAACAGGATTTGGTTTAACAGGTCAGGGTTTCTTTTCAAGACTTACATTACATAAAACCAATCTTCATATTTGACCTCTATCACCTACTTCATTTAAAACCACTTTCTTAAGACTTAAGGAAGAGCCTGCCCTCTGTACAGACCAAGGAAATGGTTTCATGTAATTTAGTTTTATTCCTGCTGACAAACAGAAATATTTAGTCCTACCTGTTCACCTTTTAACTATTGACTGCAAGTAAATGTAAATCCAGTATGTAAGAAAGCTGATTGTTGCTCTTTCATGTTTCACTAGTGTGCAACAGATGTTACTACAAAAGGCTAAAGATGAAGTACAAAATTAATGTGCTAAATCTAGGTGTGACAGAGAAGCTTTTCACACACTTTGGTACTGTTTTTTGCTAGAGACCACACAGAGACTTATTAATCCATAGTTGAAGTTATGGAAAGATTCTTTTTGACTTTATGGAAAGATTATGACCATCAATGCTATGGATGATTGAGATCTTTAAGATTATCTCATCTCTCCTGGTGTTTAAACTGATTTGTTTCTTTTCACTGGCTTTGGCTTATGATTCATGACAATTTTCAGGATTTCAGTATTAAGTTAATATCAGATATGGTTTCCCTGGTATAAGTTTCTGTGCTGAAAGTGCCCCATAGTTCCACAGTCTCACTGGGTCAGTACATTTCTTTTGCTGCTCCTGCTGTGTCTTTAGGCTGGAACTGTTGCATAATCTCACTTTTCTGGGGATGCAGGCTGAGGCATGAGCTGCAGGTGCAGAGCCTTGCTTTGGGCATTATTTAAATGAAAATTCTGCCTTTTGCATGGTGTTGGGCACATCATTCCCAGTAAGAAACTGACATGCCATGGTCCCACCATCACACCAGCCCCATGTGCTGCCCCATGTTTTTTGACCTTGCTTTTTAGTGGAAGATTGAGTCATTTACGTGTTTATTTGTGATGTGAGCTGGAGGTAGATTCTAGCTCTTATTTTTAAAAATAGACAGCTTTTACCACTAAAGTCCTCTTGGCATAAGGGTTTTTTTTGCACTTGCACAGTGGAGTGCACAGTCCTGTTGTCCTGACACTGTTGGCAGAGCATTTCACCCAGATCAGAATGAAATTACTCGAAATGGATTCATTGTCTGTATGTGTGTCTGATATTTGAATAGTTAAGAAAAATGTCTTCAGCTGGCATAACTACCTGACAGCTGATAGGACTATTAAAACTATACAGATCGGGGATTTGACTCAAATTTACATTTCTCCTTTAAATTATTTGACTCTGAAATCACTGGGTGGAGCTGAAAACATGAATTGAACTTGCCATCACACGTCCCTGACTTTCTCCAACAAGCTATATTTGTTAATTTACGGTGCAGAAATGAACCTTTTAACTTTACACTGAAAGCAAATATTGATTTTGTTTCATATATGTCTGGACTTTGCACAGGAGAGGAAAAACCTGACATTCCTGAAAATGGCAGCTGAGACATCTACAGAAGTTGCAAAAACAGCTAAACAATTCATCCTTAAGGAAGAGGTACAGAATGCTTGGGTTTGACTCTTGTTGTTAAATAACAATTATTTGTGAGTTTGTGAGTGTGGAGTACAAAATGCTAGAGAGGCTGGATGTTCATAAAAACCCATTCAATAGACAAAAAAATTCTTCCTGATTGTCAGAGAGTTTAAAAGAGGTGACATTCCTCTTTATTGAAATAATTATACAAATTATCAGTGAGGAAAGAGAAATCTACAGTGTTGCATTATGTTAAGCTGCTTCTCTTTTTTTTTTCAGATTTTGCGTCTGTTTCTTGTATTGTCTCTTCAGGAGGTTTTTCAATGTTCATAAATAATGCTGATATGTCTGAGAGACTTTACAAATTGGTGGGTTATGAAACTCAGCAACAGTTTTCTCTTTCGAACAGTTTTCTGTTTCTTTAAGGTGGCGAACCACCAAGGGTTGCTTTAACATTTAGGATTGTAACCACATTTTATGTTTGCTGAAAGGATTTGAATTTAGATAATTGCTGTTTTGAAGACATCTGTAAGGAAGTAGTAAGAATAATACCAGTCCTAAGAAAGGATTCTGGAGGTACTTCATTCTTATTAGAAGCACTTTCACCCTAAACTGCCCATATTTGTTTCTGTTCCCTTTAAAGTGAACTCTTAGAACTTAATCTTTGGTGTTAAGGCAGGTTTGGCAGTGTCCTGCTCTTGTTATAACACAAATGTGGTTTCTTTTATTTGTTCTTCATGGAGTGAACACTCTTCTGTAATTTCTTCTGGTTTCAAGGCACATGGAAAGAAGAGATTTGTCTGTATTATGTCCTTTCTCTTGGGCAATTTTTTAATATTAATATTGCACAAGCATTAAGGATTTAATTTTTGTGATCTTTTTGGGTTTTCTATTTAGAGCTGGGTATTTTGCAGGCAGCATTTTCATTTTATCCTCTTTTGGTTTCAGTTTTTTATAGGTTTTTTATGGTTTTGTTTGTTTGGTTTGTTGTTGTTTGGGTTGTTTTTTGTAATGTTTCTTAGTTATTCTGTTTTTTAAACAATGTGCTCTTTGATATCACTGGAAATTTATAATTAGATCTTACATATTTTAAGGTATTTACTTTTTTCAATCATTTTGTGGGCTTGGGCTTAATATAGAGAAGTATTTACCCTATTTCTGCCAGTGGCTCTTATACCAGAAGTGGTTCTCTACCTGTGCAGTAACAGTGTGGCCTGGTGCTGGACGATCTTCCATGAAAGTGGGAGCTGATCTTACTTCATTCTTCCTTTTTCTAGAAAGGCACATTCAGGCTGTTATAAGCAGATGTTTTTTGCCCATCAAAGTAATAGACAGAGAAATAAAAATACCTCATTTTAAAACAAGTTACAGTAAAAGAAGCAAACTGCTAAGCTAGTATCTAGGGATTTTTCTCTTTAAAATGGATTACATGAAAGATGAGGAAACATCATAGGGAAAATAAACTCACTTAGCCCAGAAAAGACATTTGGTCATAGTGTTAATGCCAAGCACTCACTCTGCAGCTCTCAGAACCCTAAAGGGGCGGGTATGTGTGACTCTCACAGCTGCAGAATACAGCAGTTACACAAGGCCACAATCTGGGATCAGGGCAAGAAAAGGGCAAGAAAAGTTTCAGTGTAGCTTGGTTTTCAGTCCTGCATGCTCAGCTTTTGGGCTGTGCTCTCTGCTGAGGGGACACTTGTGAGGACCAGTGTAGCTAAAGTCTGTGTAGCCCAGAGACCCTTTTGCATATTACCCTTGCAAAATCCTACCAAAAAATGAGGACTTTGCAGTACATAAAATCCCACTGAATTCATCAAAACTTGCTTATAAAACTAATGTTAAGAAAACCTACTGTCTTGATGTTATGGTTTTATTCATATTCAAGAATTTAGATTAATTTTTTTTTTCTGTATTAGCAATAGGAATGCTGTTGCACATTCCTTCATGTGGTGTGATGCTGAAATTTGTCTTCAAAAGAACCTAAAAATATTGTGTTGTTTCTCCCAATTATTTGGAATTAGTGTATTTAACAAATCATTCTTTATTTTAGGTAATTGTAGAAAGACAATGGTTGAAGCTTGCAGAAACAACTTACACTGATCCCTTTGGGAAAACCAGGTAATTGCCTCTGTTATTTCAGATTCCCAATTGTACAGACTGGCCCCAGGCTAGAGAACGTGAGCATTACAAACACATCACTTCACACAAGGTGAGAGCTATTCATTGTGAGATTCCTTCAGAGTTCCTGCTGCTCAGAGGAGAGAATCTTACTCCAACAGATGTGCAAGCATTGGGATTGAATTTGGCTCCTAAATCCTCTTTGGCACATTAGACCTGGATTGTGCTGCATTTCCTTTTTTTTTGGAAGGATGCTACACAGAAGCAAGTTCCAGCAGTGCAACTACTCTGTGACAATGAGGGAGTCCATCCTATGGCTTTTCTGTTTTTATATTACAAGCACCTTTTTCCCTGCTGGTAGTGCTGGATCCTGCATATTACTGACAAATTAATGTCCTCTTGTATGTTATCATTTCTGTCCAGTTCTTTTGTACTCTTTAGTTTTGCTGTATTTATGTAGGTGTTACAACATGGTTTTAGTTCTCTCCCCTTAATATGTTAGATTCTATACTGATTGCTTTCTCTACTGCCTCCCAGTTCATCAACAGAGTATCCTCTTAAAATTAGCAAGATTGGATGTTTTGTATTTTCTCTCTCCCTCCTTAAGTAGGCAAAAGAAAACTATACTTTAGACATTTTATAGTGCTAATGTATGACAGGGCCTGCCTATGGCCTGCTGCTTCTTACAAGACTTCACTGTGTGATGGTACATTTTGCTTTAAATGAAAGTAGCAAGGGTAGAAGATGATTTATATATTCATTTTTTCTTTTCTCTGTTTAAACAGAACCTGGGAAACTGTAAAGCGTACTGGCAACAAAAAGGGAGTTACAGCTGATGGTAAGAATGGGTGGCTTTTTCTGTTTGCCTTTTTTCTCCTGTGAAAGTCTTTCTGATAAGCTGACAATGCAGATTTTGAGCTGATCTGTTCCGTGAATGAATGAGGATGTGGAACAGGTGGCGTGGCAGAGCTGGCTTTGCTAATGAAAGGCTAACTTAAGTGCTGAAGAATCAGAACCTTACTGGTGGGATTGCTTCCCAAGGTCATTGTGTTCACTTTAAAATGATGGAGCACTTCCTAAGACATCAGGGGTGCCCTGACACGGAGTAGCTCTCAAACTGGTGGTTTGGTCTGCTTTAGAAATGGAGAGTAGAGTTCTCTACAGAGGCTTTCAAGCAGTTTCTGTAGGCAGGAGAGCCCTTCCCTGAGGCTCAGTCTTGCTTGGTATGTGTGCCTCTGGCTTGCTGGTGAGCTTTGAAGATCTCTCACCGTGCATGATACAAAGAGCTTAAATTCATCATTCAGGATTATGGAGCAGGCACCTCAACATTTAATGCTCAGAGTAGCAGCAAGGTTCCTTTCCAGATCTGGCACTAAAATCTTTCTGCTGCACTCACATTCCATGTCCTCGTGTCTCCCATGGCTGTGGTAGGTGTAGCAGTGATAGCAGTGCTGCAGAGAACCCTGCACTACGACTGCATTGTCCTGGTGAAACAGTTCAGGCCCCCAATCAATGGCTACTGCTTGGAATTTCCTGCAGGTAAGTGGCTGAAACACTGGGATGAATCACATATGGTTCAGTGTGTTTAGATGTGTTTGGAGTGTCAATCTTTATGTATTTTATAGGTTAGACTTGAGGATCTCCAAGGTCTTTTCCAACTTAGTTGATTCCGTGATCTTAATGAAGCTGCAGCTGGAAAACCATGCTGGGCTTCATGTGCTATTCCAAAATAGGAATATTTGATACTAAAAAAAGCAAAATAAGCTTGTTTTAGCAGATTGGAGAAAATTCCCTCCACTTTTCCTTTTTCTAAGAGTCAAAGCATTTGACTTCTTTCCCTCATGAGAATATTAATGCCTTTTTTGGGGAAGGCATCATGATTCTGTCGATAATTGGTTAAGGATATGGGCAGCAGCATAATGAATTCAGGGATTGGAATCCTTCCTAACACTTATCTCACAGTAAAAACAGAGTTGTGATGATGTTTCCCCTTTTCCATAAAGCTTGATTAGATCTCAGGATGGATATTGCAGTTAAGTGGGAAGCTTTTAATTGTTTTTGTCTATTATGTATCTCCCAGGCCTCATTGAGGAAAACGAGTCAGCAGAAACTGCTGCGCTTCGAGAGCTGAAGGAAGAAACTGGGTACAAGGGGGAAGTCATTGAATGTACTCCAGGTCTTTGCTTTTTTTATTTTTTCCCACAAAGATAATTGTGTCTTGATGGCTACTCTAAATGTCTGAAATGCTCTAAACCAAAGGGAAAATCCAAGCAGCAAAGCCTATGCAGATTAGCAGGGTAGCATCTCATGTCTGTAAAAGTGAAACTTTGGTCCTTGATGTGAATCAGTTGCTGAACTTCAGTCTGAAGTAAGTTTGATGTCTATAGGGAGAAAATTGTTATTAATTAAGATCCTTTACACAAAACCCAATTAATCAAGCTGTGATTTGGCATTTTAGTGTAAAGGTCTAAATTGCTGGCCTTCTGTGAACTTAGAAAAAAAAGCTGCATAATGCAGAGGTCACCTTTCTGTCAGCTGTGGGGAGGTGACGGTGCTTGTGGGGAGGTGAGAGTACTCAGGTTCTCCAGCTGGAAAGAAGAAAGGAGAGTAATTGGAGTAAATTCGGAGATCTTTGGAACATGGTTGTTCCAATCCTCTGCTTCCTACATAAGATAAAATGAAGGCAAAATGAGGATCGTAAATTGAACTTGAGAAGGTAGGTGAGGCAACTTAGGATATTGAGGAAATGTCATTGCATGTGAATCTTGTCTCTCAGTTATTGGGTACAACTGCATGCTGGAGACTGGGAGAGGTTGGAGACAGGTGATGGCAAAATTAGACTCCAACAGACTGAGGAAGTCTATAAGAGATAGTTCACAGTAAATCTTTAGTCTATGGAATGGAAAGTAAATTTGGCTGTGAAAACAAGTTTTCCCAGGGATCTGTAAAAGAGCTGAGAGTTACAGAAGCATTACCTCTAAGAATATGTGAAGACAAAGTTTTCTCTCCTCTTACAGCACAGACATCTGCTAAATATATATTCTCCTGATTCTGATATATTGATATATTCTGATATATTGTATCAGATACATTTCTGTGAAAGATTTTGTTAAAATGTCAAGGTGCCTGACTCCTGCTCTGGAAAATGAACCTCTCCATGTGCTTGTTGGCAGCTCTGTGCTTGGATCCAGGAATGTCAAACAGCACAACACACATTGTGAGCGTCATCATTAATGGAGATGAGGCTGAGAACACAAGACCTAAGCAAAACCTGGGTGAGTTTTGTACCATTTATTTGAAGATTTTGAGAAGATAACAAAACAATGGGTTTAAAATAGTTAACCCCACCACTTAATCTCTTCTGTCCTAGCTGACTTGGATACTGCACATCCTTCCAATCACATCCTGCAGTCTAGATGAGTGTGTCTCTGCTGAATCCAGTGGGGAAACCCAGCTGCAAAGTGTCAGCTGTTGGCACACTCAGAATAAAACATTTCAGTGCCAAATTTCAGTGAGGGCCATAAGCACTTGTGGACTTAGATACTGCTCTCAGTTGTAGCTTTACTCTGGAAGTAATTGCAGTGTCACTCACAGTCAGTCAGCCATCAAATGCTTTCTAATTGTAAACTCCAGTGTATTTCAACTCCTTAACTCACTACTCTTCTCATTTGCAGATGATGGAGGTACGTAATGTGACTGTGATCTCTATGACAATAAGGTCATGATTCTTCGTATGGCAAGTTTTACGTAGAAAAAGTCAGTTAAAACTGGCTTTTATTTGTGCTTGGGTAATCTCCTGACCCTAATGAAATGTGCCTGAGGTTGACTTTGGCCTAGATGCAAATTCCTGTGAGAATTTGTGATGCATTATTGCATCAATTATCTTTCTCAGTGTTGCACCTATAGCACCAGTATTTCAGGAAATACAAATTACTCACCCCCCAACATCTGTAGGTCAAGCCCTAAAGACAGTTCAGAGAGACAGGAGAGGGGTAAGCCAGCATAAATTCATCATTAACAAACCCTTTGAGATGGTTTGGTCTTGAAATGCATCTCCAATCAATTTCCTGTATCAGGAGAAGCCAGACAAGTTTTCTTCAACAGTGTTATTTTTCATTCTCAGAAAGGAGGTCTCTCTTTTTGGGATTCTTATCCTTCATAGCTACCAGCTACACTTTTTACCCCAACTGTTTTTCCAGCTTTTTTCTGCCAAACATTTTTTAGTGAGCCCAGTCACTGCCTTCCCCTATTTAATTATTTTTTTTTGATACATGAAAGCTCACAATTTTTGGATGGTGATGAGCATTAAATCAGTTTCTTTCCCCTTCTAAATTGCAAGAAACAGAAAACTGAGGTAAATTTCTCTACTGTTCACTAATTTAAGAATGTGCAAACCTTTTTCTTCTCTCCTAGAATTTGTGGAAGTTGTTTCACTTCCAAAGAATGACCTGCTGCAAAGGATTGATGGTAAGAACTTTCTGACACATTGAATGCACTAACATGAGCTTCAAGAATCCCTTCTCAGGGCTCCTCATGTCATCTCTCACCCTAGAATACTGTATGTTAAGCAAAAAGCTGTGAGAGACCTGGCCAGATATGAGAGTTATTGATAGCAGGAGGAGTGTGCAGTGTCTGCAATACTACACATCTTAATTTTAGCAAGGAGTTACATTTCTGTAAAGCTAAGGTTTTTAACAGCAGCTCATGATTTTTTTTCTTTTATTTTCAGAACTAGTAGCAGAGGAACATCTGGCAGTAGATGCCAGGGTTTACACTTACGCGTTGGCTCTAAAGCGCGCAGCAGAAAAACCGCTCCAAGTTCCTTTTATGAAGTTCTAGAACTGGACAATGAGAAATTTAATTCAAAACTGCCCAAGTTGGATGGCTTAGAAGTACAACTCTTCTGGTAATCAAGATCTTTTGCTTTACTTGTAGAGCAAAAAAAAAGTGTTTTCAGTAACGATTCTGGTATTTTTATTTTGAATTGTGTAACTGACAGAAAGTATTTCCTCTAACTGCTCTGTAAAGCCTTGACAGAATATCCATAATAAAAATACTGTTTAATTTTCAGAATTGCTTATTTCTCACTAGATTCCTCTCTGAACTTACAATTCAGTATAAGAAAGATGCTTAGGTAACCGTGGTTGGTGTTGTATCACCATGGCTCCAAAGGAGGCAGAGGCAGAAGAGTGAGTGCAGGTCTCTCTAACTCTCACAGCACTCACACAACTCCTAACACCTGGAGAGGGGAAAGCTCATGCTGGGCTGCAACTTCTTTATGCTGGGCAGCAGAGGGGCTGGCACTGATTTCTCCTCTCTAGTGACCAGTGATAGGACCCAAGGGAATGGCCTGAAGTTGTGTCAGGGGCAGTTTAAGCTGGATATCGGGAAGGGTTCTTCACCCAGAGGGTGGCTGGCCACTGGAACAGGCTCCTCAGGGAGGTGGTCACAGTTCAAGATGTGTTTGGACAACACTCCTGGCCACATGGTGAGATTCTTGGGATGTCCTGCACAAGGCCAGGAGTTGGACTGGGTGAGTCTTGCAGGTCCCTTCAATCAAAACTCATATAATTGATTGCAGAACATCCTGTTAAGTAGTAATTTTCTGTGACAGGAGCAGGGACAGCAGCACAGGAACACTGTGTGCATGTTCTGGCTGAAGTAATTGAAATAGCAACTTTAAGAACTTCCTGTTGTGATTTAGACATGAAGATTATGTTTCCTTCTCCCAGCCCTAACTAAACTATGAAGAAAGAGAAAACTGGTTTGTTTGGGCTAAAATAATGATTATGACACCACCATCTACTGGTGCTAACCAGAACTGTGCAGGCCCAGGGGATCCTGCTGAAGGTATGAGGTCACTTATGTACCTTGAGAGGGCACAGCCTTGCAGTTTTCCCTCTCCTGAGGGCACGTTTTTGTACCCAGGCCGCACCTTCATTCAGTCAAATCACTTCCAGGTACATCTTATCCCAAATAAACCTTAGTGCATCTGCACAGTGGGCTGCTACTAATTATGTAAACAGCCACCACAGCTGAAAGGTCAGGATCTGAGAGATTTAATAAACACAGATCAAAATCAGTCCTGCCTCTGAAATAGATGAGGACAAGTGTGCATAATTAGAGAAACTTTTTGAAAGAGAAAATTGCTTAAGAGTTTCTTATGTTCACAAACAACACAAAGTTACTTTCAAATTAAGAGTGAGAGAAGACAGAAGAAATGTCACATCAAAGGGAAAAAGCGATTACAGCAGAGCAGAAAAGCTCAATGGCTTTAAGGGGAGGAATCCTAGGACTTTTTTTAAATTGTGGTTGCTAAAAATTAATCAGAATTCTATTCTAGAAAGAAAAAAAAGAGGACAAAAGGGAGCCTTGTAGACCTACCTCCCTATCAAGGCATTGTAGAAACTACCAGACTGCACATGAATTACGTCTGGCACACACAAGACACAGGAGAGAGTTTAGTTAAATAAGTTTATTGTCTAACGCTTACATTTGTTACATCGCCGCTGTAAAGTGCGACAAATTTTCAGCAGGAACTCCCCGTTCCCCCTTTTCCCTCCTATGAACTGCTTCAGGAACCAGGCCTTGTTCTTTAGACTCACAAAAGCGAAGTGGACATGAAGTTTCAGTGGCACAGTTTTCACAAGTACATGGTTGAGCAGAACTGCTGGGCTGGGCCGCCCTGCCCCACAGAGGCCTGGGGCAAGAACCCGGCTGCCCTGGCCGCAGCAGATCCCCCGAGGGCCAGCTCCCAGGTGAGATGAGTATCAGCCACTGCCCGTAAATGTTTGCTTGCCCACCCTCAGAGCTCAGAGAAAGGTGCCTGGGTGGAGGCACGGCAAAGGAATAAGGAGTGCTGAGTTCAGTGGTGGGGAAATGAGATTTTTAAAAAAGTATAAAAAATTAATGTAAAATACAGATACAAATAAATTTTGTCAGGAATACTGGCACGTGGCAATCTGAACTCAGGGTTTTGTTTTTTTTTCCTATTAGGGACAGGGAAATTAATTTAACACTTTTCTGCTGTGTGCAAAGACGTTTACGGCTCTCAAACTGATACATTTTACCATCTCACTGTAGTGTCTGAACAGCAAGGTAGATGAATTGTTTCCAGCATTACAGGCAACACTAGATAATACTTAAACAAGATAATGTAAACTTTATTCTTAAGGCAGCTGGTACTAATGCTGCACACAGGCATCGCTCAATGCCCATTACAGTAATGGGACACGTAGCACTTGGAAACAAGTAAAAAGAAAATAGCATTATTGGACTAAATGACGCATGTTGTCAAAATACTTTCCCTTTCACACAAACCATGAAATATTTGGACATCTAGAAAAATAATGCACCTACTCCTCCAACTTCAGCCTGTTCTTTTACAAATATTTCAAAATACTGATAAATAATAGTGACTGCAAGCAGAATGCCAGTGCCAGAGCCAATGGCTCCTAGAAAGTCAGCCAGTACTGAAAGGGCACCGATGCACAAACCACCAAATGCAGCTGCTGTAGGGATGTATCTGTAAGAAAGGAAAAAACAGGGAAGAAGAAAGTAATAACCAAGGTATCTTTCTTTACCAACGTGGAAGAGATTCAACTAAAAATCCCTCATTATGTCACTTAACTAAAAAAGACAGTCCAGGCTAATCTCTCTTTAATCTGCTGCTGTAACTTCTTTAGCATAACTAAGAAAGGCAACAGCTGAATGGGAAAAATCTCTTTTGCAGTGGAAACAGGTATCAGATTTTTCTGACAATCTCTGCTCTAGCTGACACTTCCCCAACACTCTTCACCATCCAGCTGGAAGTCAGCATTTCCTCACCTGTTAAGCTCATGAACCATTGATGTATCCCTGTGGCCTCTCATTACCATTTGCTGTTCTTTGAGTTGCTTGGCAACCTGCAGAAAACATTATTTTATGAAACTGCTGCAGTGTTTCACAGTCACTTGATCTTAGTACTAAGATAAACTGATCAGTCAGTAGCTGGTCAGTTCTAAACCAGAAGCACTGTTTGAAAACAATTAAGGTAGAACACCTACATCTTTTGCTGATGAGCCAGACACTTCGATCCAAGTCTTGGAGAAGAATGCACAGGATCCCAACATAAATATTATATAAACTATTACATGGACAGGATCCTCAAATATTGCACCCATGGATTCTGGAGGAGACAAGTAGTAGCACAGGCCACCAACAGGGTAAGAGCGAGCAGGGCCACCTCCACTGACATCCTGAGAGGGGAAAAAGGCAATAAATTACTTTTTTACAGATTTCCCACATTCCTATCCTGTATTACTAGATGAATACCTCTTTGATGTTTGAAACAGCTTTTATACACAAATGTTAAAAAGTAAGTACGCCAGTTGATTAAATACCAAGGATTCACAGCAAAGTAAAAATGCAATAATTCTACGCAGCGAAAATGTGATCAAATACTTACTGCCCACTGTCCCAGTAAGTTCACCAAGAAGTTACCACTGAAACGAACAGACAACATCTGGGAAATGACATAGAGGTTTGACACTAAGGCAGACTGCAGAATGATGGGAATGTTGGAGGTATAGAACAGCTTGATGGGATAGCTGCTGTACTGCCCACGGTACCGTGCAGACTTGATGGGTAAATCCACTCGGAACCCCTGTGGGCAAGAACACAAATGCACCAGGGTTCACTTCCAAGACATAAGGTACTCCCAGAATGCCCCAAAGCTATTCCTGACCATGCAGCTCTTGCTTGATAAACAAGGACTGCAAGGTCTGAGATAGTGAAGCCCAAAGGCTTTCTGCTACAGTCTGGATTACAGATTTTAAGGATGTAGAAGTGTTACTGCTTGGTGTTACTACATGCTTTTCACATAAACATGGTTTCTCATCTGCTAACTGGTATTCCTGTGAAATACATTTTATAGCTTAGGGGTTGATAAAAGCCTGTCATGGCTTCCAACTGAACTAGCCAGTTACCAGCAGGCTCTTGTGTGTAAGTCCAGGCTCTTGTGTAGTTTTCTGGGGCAGGACCTTTTCTGAGTAGACCCAAGAAAAGCCACATGAACTTCAAAACATGTTTTTTGGTTTGTTTTTTTTCCCTAAAACACGGACTCAACACCTTTAAAAAAAATTTTAAAAATCACATTTTAGCTGTCCCTGACCAAAAAATCTCCATATGAATTCTCCTTTAGGGTCTATTTAGTAGATACTTAAGATTTAAAAAGAAACACTAATTCAATGTTTCAAGAAAATTAGGGGAAAATTGATAAGCTACACACTCCATAGAAGCAAAGCTCTCCAGCTCTGTCCAAAAGTATTCTTCTCAGTCAATGATGAATATTAAGAATATTATTGGTGTGATGCAACCACTGCAGTATCAGAATCTGTTTTATTAAAGATATTTTCGTAGTGTGTACAGCATTCAGTGGAATGTGCGATTACACACTGAGTGCAACTAGGCCTGGTTGTAGAATTTTACAGCTTTACTGTCACAGAGGTAATTGTTACTGAAATAAAGAGTTCATTACTCAAGTCTAAGATACTTCAGTTACTCTGGCTTAAACCTTCCCATCTTTTCCAATGACTGCAGTGTCCAGGGTCCACGTGCACTTCCACCTGTGCAGAGCTGCTGTGAGGAGTTTTACCTGGAAATAGATGACTACAGCAAACACAAACACTGTAGCGATCAGGTTCATGAGATTGGGCAGATTCTGTCGGTAAAAAGCCTCCCGCAAAGCCCGGACCTTGTCAGTTCGTGTGGCCAGGAGATGGAATAATGCAATCACAGCGCCCTCAAACTCTGTTCCTGCATGAAGCAAGAAAGTGAAAGAAAGGTTAGTCTCCAAATTAAAAACATTTTGTTTTTAAAAGTACCTTGTTTTTGAAAATTTTAAGCATGACACACAGAAAATCTGATACAAAAGGACATGGATCCTGTTACAACAAGTATGTCACAACATAGAACTCTTTTTTAGGTTATGGAATGTAGAATGAGCCAAAAAAACATTACTCTTGATTAGAAAAACAAAACAAAATCATCAAAGCCACACACATGAAAGAATACTCTCTTCCTTTCTTTTC